AAATTAATAGAAATAAGTAAAAGGCTTAGATAAAATAACAATAAATTATTGAACTACAATAACACAAAAATTAAAATAAAATAAAATCAATAAAAAACAAAAAAAAAAAAAAATTAAAACAACTTCTTTTCGACTCCCCCACTCATTCAACCGTTCACCACGCAGAAAGTAATTTCTATAAAATTACAGTATGTTTTTCTTGTATTTTTTTTATTTATGACACATCGGCTTTCATGATGGCTGACGCGCGTATGTACGTATGATGTGCAACTTGATAAGAGTTTTGCGGCTGTGGCACGCAGTAAAACAAGAATTGGCGATACTGGAGAGGAAGAGATTGTTTGAATATGGCAAGTAAATGGCGCTATTACGTTACTGTGCTTGTGTGTGTGCGCGATTATATGACTTCCGGGAAAAACTAATTGAAATTTGTAACCAAGCTACTAAATTTTGTAAAATAAAACGAGATAGAAAGTTTAATGTGCAAATGTATGTAAGTATGTACATACATACATATATACTTCAAAGCAATTAAATTTTCGAGCAACTCAGAAAAGTTTTTAGATGCTTAAAAATACAATGAAAAGTAAATAAAAAGAGATAATTTAAAATCAATTAAATTAATTAATTAAAAAATATATTAAATTTAAAATAGAATCATTAAAAAATATATTGAAAAATAATACCTCTATAAAGCTAAAAAAAAATTCAAAATATTCAATTAAAAAATTAAATAAAATTAAAAAAATAAAAATTCAAATAAAATATATTATTTGAGTAAAACAGAAAAAAAATTCATCAAATATCACTGAACAATGGAAATATTCATCATGTTTACTCGTCTGAGATCAGAAATTTTTTTTCGCTGCTATTTTTCTGTTATCAAAACATGCATTTTTGTGCCATGAAGAAAAAATTAAAAATATATTAACTTCTGAATATGACAAGGTCGTAGGGGCATTTCAGCTTGCGGTTGGGGAAAAAATTCAATATCAATATCATAAATTAAGCATCGTATATATGTATGTACACACATATGTGCAAAATACATATGTGTACCACTGAGAGATAAGCAATGCTCTTACGTATGCGCATACATATGTATCTTGATAAGATTGCTTTAGGTACATGCAATTCTACAATACTAAGAAAAACCTCGGTCTAAAGTAGCAGCTGTTGGCAAGAGTGATACAGCTTTGGATTTCGGGACCCAAATTAATGCAAGTCTCTAGAAAGATCAAATTATTCACAGCTTAAACTTATTGACTATCAATAGTAACGTGGGAACCTAGGCACGGGTAAGTTGACCCTTTGCTTAATGACAAGAGCTTCTATCTTGTACTCTTTAACTACCAAAACCAATCGCTTCCCTTCCTTGGTTAGTCGGTTCGTATGTTTTTCTCTACCTTTAAATTAAAATAATCTAACAGTAGAGAGTGAGATATCTTGAAAGAAACAGCATTAGGTATCTGAACGGCTTGAAGAGGTTTTCTTGATTCAGCCTTAAACATCGGTAGACCGTATAGGGTAAAATAAAGAAACAGATGATAAGATGCAGCAAGATTTCGCACCGCTGCTAATGTTTGCAAAATATTCCACTTCTGAATTTTATTAGGCGAAAATTTATTGTCAGATTATAATAAAGCTACACATTTTAGCACAAACTTTTAACTTTCATCACTGGCACTCCATGCCTCATATAAACAATTGATAAAACATTTCATTAAAATATTTATTGAACAAAAGATCGCGCAAAAATCAATCGCATAAATGCCGTTCGATTTTGTAAAAGATTTAAACTACATACATATGTATGTGCATATAAACTAAGCAATGGATGAAAGTACATACGAGCAATAAAAGAATTCTTAAAAGCTTAGCTCAGATTTGCTTATTGTGCGCAAAAACTCTATACAAATGCAAATGAAAATGCATAACAAAGTATTAATAGCCATATAGTGTGAGACGACACCAAAACGTTTGTGAAAAGTACAGAAAAAGGAGAGGAATTAAATTGAATAATAGTAAGTTGTAGAGCTAAATGGGCAATAGAGTGTATATGGGACTTGGAAGCCGGAAAAATAATGCAATGGAATTGGATTTTTAATTTCACGCTCGTTGAGATAAGTGGGACAACAGAATACGTCGTACATACATATGCATGTACATACATATATCGTTAACGCAAAACACAGAAACAGGCATATAAATAAATAAAAGCAAGTAACAAGCCATAACAAACAGACATAAGTTGTAAAAAAAAAACAAAAGCGAAAAGCATTTAAAATGAAAGAAAGATTAACGCGAAAAAAATAGTAGAAGATCTGGAGAAGCGGGCAAGAAAAATGAATGGAAAATTGTACGCTTCTTACAACCGGCAAAACTCAGATGAGGAGACTTTTCTCAATACGTTTAACAGATATGCGTATGCGATTACGCAAATACGCCAGAAAAGAAAGTAACAAGTGCATAAAAATAAGAATAGAGCTTAAAAGCAAAGTGAAACAATGCGATATTGTAAAATTTTGAAAAAGTGAACGACTTAACAAAAACGCACAATAAAGACAAACACAATTCTTTTCAGTAAAAAAAAAGAGAAGAGAAATAAAACAATACAAATGAAACCAATAAAAAGAAAAAATAACAACAAACTAAAGAATTTCGTTTGAGCGCGCCTAACGGAAAAAGCAGATATCTGAAAGTAGCTGCGAAAGTCGTCATTAGAGATAAAGTGATATTTGCGTAAGTTAAGAAACGCGACGAGCACAATTGAACACACAGGCGAGACGCTGATTAAGCAAGGCAAAGCAATTCCATGTGGTTAGAACAAAAAAAAAAGATAAAAACGAAGGAAAAGCTCATCAAGTGGAATAGATAGCCAGATATTTGCGAAAAAATTCACGAAAGCAGTTGCATACATTCATAACTACATTGAAGCATTTTACTGTAATTAGGTCATCAAGCGAAAAAGTGTGAAGAAGTGTAACCATGGCGCCGACTACTATACGAGTATATTAACACCACTTACGACGTATGCTGTGAAAATTATTTATGGCAGAATTTTATAATAACCATTGAATGAAGCTACAATATTTACTTTACAAGAACAACAAAAGCCGATGATGTGGTTTGAACAGCTATGAACATTTTATGTAGGTTGGATATCAATTAAGACGAAATATGCAGTTTGACGGGGCTGGCAGCATTGCATTGTTGCAAAAGATAAAAATTAAAATCGTGATTGTGAGTGGTCGCCGAACAGAAAGTGGGTAAATAAAACATGAATAGAAAGAGGTTAGATCAGTGGGAATGATGTATGCCTGTATAGGGAAAGACGGGAGAAAGGCATGGGAAAAAGTCAAATTTCACATAACTGACTTGAACGAAATAAATCGATGGCAATCGATGTGGTCGACACTGCCAAGGACAGGCCGAGGAAATCAACGGTTTTGGGACAAAGGAAAGGGTTGTTAGCGAGTTGGTTTTAAGGAACCTACAAAGAGAATATCAGTGTCATGACGAGGCATACGTTGAGTTTTTGGTCTGCTATTGGTAATGGTCGTATTTCGATGATGTCACTCACTGGAAAAGAGTTTTAGAATGTGTTGACTGTTGATCCTCATTGGCACGTATTGAGTCCTCAACTGCGTTTGCATTAAGACGATAGCCTTGTAATTTGCCACAGTTGCTGCCGGCTAGCGACTTGGGGGTTTTGTGGCTATCATATGCGAAGAGAAGGATTGTAGACTACCGACTTCCAATAACTTTGGGCTATGAATAACCGGAATTTTAACATCATCGACTTTGACATTTAAAAAGAACTGGCACTGAGCTCCTGGCTGGGCGACAAGTTTCTGTCGACTATCAATTGATCCATCTCTTTAACGCCGAGGGTAGTTAAGAGCCCTCGATGTACGCTAGTAGCATTGCGTCATTCACTGAGTCGAAAAGGCCAGCAATGTGAGGTCGAGATATACAGTGATGCAAGGATGTAAGCTGTTACAGTAATAAGATTTTTTTTGATACAGAGTTACGTAGCTCACTCCAAATATGGGTGCATGCGTTCGATATTTCCGAGCAGAGACAATATCATCCTTGAAGAAGAGTCGAATTCGAAAGTAAGGTTTTGCGAAAAGATTTTGGAGCAAACGGCGAGAAATAGCCTTGAACAATGGAACAAAGAGCTGCATGAAATATACGGGACATTGATATAGTCCAGTGAATTAGGGAAAGGTAGCTACCCTGACTAAGTCATGTCAAACAGAAAAATCATAACTCTCCACCTTTTTAAAGTTAGCGATATTGTCAACGCTAATAGAAAAAATTAAAGAGAAGCACCTCTGCTCCCTTGGAAAGATCAGATGGTAAAGAACCAGGCTCTACTTGGAAATTGTCGCCGAACAATTAGGAGAAGGAAGATGTCTCATTAAATTAAAGATGTAAGTCCCTTGTTAACGCGCTTTAAATTAGTTGTTTTTGACTACCTTAAGGAAAGGACTGGAATGACATTTAAGTAGTGGAAGTGCGACAACTGCCCTAGTAAATCAGATGCAAAGAAGACGTTCGTTCTTTTACAGTCCTCGGTGGTTGAACCTAGATTTTTGAAAGTTGAGACAAAATTTTACGCCGGTGGGAACGGAAAATTGCGGTGGTGCATAATAATTATATTAGTATGTAAGTATCAAATACACCAGCTTTTCGACCACAAATCGGCAATAAGCCCAGCGCGAATATTTCTGCGGTTTGACAGCAAAACACAAATAGAAAAATATGAATGATTCGCACACTCAAGCGCTGGTAAGTAACAGTCAGTAATGAAGATGTACGAAGGTAACCAATGTTTTTGGACACGCAAATATGCGCTAATTGAATTTGCAACATCAGCAACAATTGCAGCACAGTCGCAGATGCTGCCGCAGTCACAGCTGACCAACTTGCATATTTTGTTGTTTTATTACATTTTTTCTAATTTCAGACAGTCAAATCGCATTCGTACTCACCTGCATTTGTTGTTGCTGCTGTTGGCGATAGCAGTTGGCCACACGTCAACGATAGCCGTTGTTGTTGTTGTTGTTGTTGCATTGTTGCAGTTGTCGGCGATACTAACACACCGCCCGCCGCACCAATCGTACGTGCCACATTCGATTTGCGACGTTGTATTAAATCTTTCTTCCACTGCGGCATCTCCGGCAGAAATGAGGGCGATGTAGCGGCGGAATTACCACCGCTGCTGCCATTTGGTGAGACTAACATATTAGCGGATGTATCTAAGCGCTCAATAGAGCCAAATAGCATTGTTGGTCGTATGGCTGATGAAGCAGAGGTAGAGCTCGCAGCCCGGGTGGCAGTGGCGGCGGCGGCGGCGGATGAAGGTGATGTTGCAATTGTATTATTGCTGCTTTTGGTATCTAAAGTTGTTGCAGCAGTTGTAGTGTTGCTGTCTGTTGTAAGCGTGGATGATGCGAGGCCGGCATCCATCAGGGTCAGCGGTGTAGCGGCCATAATTACAACGGACGCGCGCGAAATGTAAGATGTAAAATTGAAGTTTATGACGTTTGCGAAAAGGAGGTCGATCGTCGTTGGTTGGTTGGTTGGTTGGTTGGCTGGTCAGCAAAAAGTTTAATTTGCGCACTTTTTACAGTTTTTTTGCACGTAATTTTTTATTGGTTATTTTATTTTTTACACAATTTAGATACTTTTTTTTTGTTATCAAAACGTTTTCTGCTATATTAGCAAATATTACATGCCACATATACATACATACGGGTATGTATGAGAATGATTAATATTTTGTTTGTCGTAAACGCGCACTAATTCACTCTACACTTTTTCGTTAAACAACACGCAAACAACGCAGCGATGCGTTTCATGCTTTTCGATCCCACGAACGCGCACTAAACGCCAAAGATGACTAGATACGAAACTTACTCAAAATCACTCAAATTGCAGCTGAGAGCGTTCCCCCATCTCACATTCTAATGTTGGCAGCAGTGTCAGATCGGGGAACATTCAACATCTGATGTGCAAAATGCACCAGTGCCACTATGTCAATAAAAAAATCCATTATTTTTGTTGCAAAAGAAATTTGATTCAGCAGTAAATATTAAAGAAATTATTGTAATTATATTATGAAAACTTAATATAATTAAATATTGACTTGTTTCTTAATAAAATATTTTAGTGGAATTGCAATTAAAGACGCCGTTGTTTGTAATAAAATACCCAAAATATACCTAAAAATCCAAAAAGGTCATTTTTCTATCACAGTGGCACTGTTCAGAAATGTTATAAAAAATGCGGATTTTTGAGCGCTCTCACGGAATAAAGAGTTTCGTATCTAGTCATCATTGCTAAACGCCGTAATGCAACTGAACAAAATATGTGCTATTAGCACTGCTGACACTCGTCACTATCACTACGCTCGTGTGCGCTGCTGCTGCTCTAGCTGATGTACGAAATGACGGCGAGCCGAGTGGAGTGCGGCACAACCTGTGTGTGTGTGGCTTTTATTTAAAATTTTTCTCTTTTTGGCTAAGGTCTATTGGGCCACAAATGTCGCTTGCGCCTACTGTGCGCGCTATGACACCGTTGACCCGTAAGCGTGTGTATAATTCTTCGACTGGCGCCGAGCTTTCGATGGGTGGGTGGTGTGGTCAAGCAAGCAAGCAAATAGGCACGCCACAGGCCACTTTATCGCGTAAATATTTGTCTAATTGGATTTGTTCTTATTTGCATTAGGTGTTTCTGTTGTTGTTATTATTATTGTTCCTAGCGCAAACGGCGGGCGCTTGTTGGCTTCTTTCAGCAAAGTCTATATTGAGCAGTTGGTGAGTGTAGTTGACGTGTTGATTGTACTCAATAACAATAGTTCAAATAACTGCTTGGCGATTTTTTAATTAAGACCTTTTCACATATACATAATTCGACGTGCACACTTAGTGGTGTTTATTTCAATTTTTGACGCATACACAATTTCGCTGGCATGCCAAAGTTTGCAATATTATAAATATAAGTTTTATTTGGCAGTTGCTGTGAAGAAAATTTAATGAATATAAAAATATAAATAAGTAACAAAAAATGTAATGGTTTTCTTTTAATATCTAATTTTTGTTTAGCTTTCTTTTTTTTAATTTTTAGATTTTGTCTCTTTAATTTCTTATTATTAATTTTTACGCTTTAATTTTTTTTCATAGTACATTTTAAACTGTTGCACGTTTTTAGGCTTGCCTGTGGAATTTTGAATAGAAATTCTTTTCACATAACTTATTTTTCAACCGAAAAATAATTTTTTAACACTTTTAACGCATTTTTATTTCTTTCAAATTTTAATTTTATAGGTATATTTTTTAATCATTAATTTTTTTGCTGATTGAATTACAAACTTTTTTACACGCTTAATGTTTTTTTTAATATTTCAATAATTTTTGTTGTTAATTTTAAAATCTTTTCTTTTAACATTTCTTTCAATAATATTTGTAGTTAATTTTAATATCTCTTTTTTTAGTTTTACTGTTGTAAGCACTAATTTTTGATTATTATTTGCCTTATTATTACTTTCTTCTTCTTCTCTGCTTAATTATACCTAGTTTATTCAGCGGCTTTTTAATGTTATCAATTTTTTTTCAAGTTAATATTCATATTTTTTAATACAAAAGACTTTGTTATTCTTAGCGATTTTTGCAATAATTTTTGTATCTTTTTCAATATACTTGTGTTATTTTTTTCTTTGCTTTTTCGACTGTTTTTTTATTTCAATTTTTCAATTATTAATTTTTATAGTTATTTAAAATTTCCATTTTTGTTAATTTTTTATTTTTTTCTGATTTAATCTCTATTTCTTCGCAAAAGGAATGATTTTGTTGTGTTTTTTTTTTTTAATTTTGATTTATTATATAATTAGTAAATTTTAGAATTTATTTTGCTGTTTTAAAAATTATTTTTTTGGCTTCGTAATATTTTTTATTAATATTTAGAATTAGTTAAAAAACTCAATTTTTTTAAATTTTTATAATTTCTTTGTCATTTAATTAGGTATTACTTTTATCAATAAGGATTGGTTTACGAACTCAGTTAGCGCGTAAATATTTAATATTTTATACCATTTTTAATATTTTTAATTTTTCCTATTTAGGTAGGTAGTTAACATTTTTTTCTTTTAATATTTTTGTACATTTTCAATACAGTTTTTAATATTCTTCTCATGCAATCATTTTTCGTGAATTTTTGTTTATTTTTACTTTATTATTTATTAATTCTTTAATTTCTATTAAATGTTTGTCAAATTTATTATATTATCTTTTTATTTCTACATTTTATTATTATTATTATTATTTATTTCTTTGCTAATGTTCATGTTAACTAATATTAAATTTTTTATTAATTTTTTGCTTTCATAAATTTAAAAATACATGAATGTATATTTTCTTATTGTTTTTATTTACTGTTTCGTTTATATTAATATTCATCAATATCTTCCGTTTTCATTTTTGGCTTTTATTAATACTTCCAGATTACTTAAATGTGTTTTATTATCACTTTAGAAGAAAATAATCGTCTTCATTTGCCATTCCTTGTATAACACACATTCATATGTACATACACACATACATAATGTCAAACAAGCTGTTAGCTAAAAATGGCAATGACCGCCTTTAACTACATATTATTATTAACAACTGACATTCCTGTTGCTGTCACTGCATTTCCTCCTTGCACTTTTCACACAAATGTTTTTCTTGTTATTTTACTTGTTTTCTTCGAGCAATTGGCCACTTCTACTCTCTGCCAGCCTGCCAAGTCAATTAGACATGTGCACAGTTACGCGAGCGCGCTATGAATGCCGACCAGTTGGAAAATCCAACATTGTCCAAGTTAGCAAGCCAGAGGAGCGACTTCAAGCCGACCGACCACAGCGACGAATTCGTCACAATGTACTCGCTAACACCGACTCGCACTTATGGCTGACAAGTGCAAGTGTCACCGCGCACACTCTGCCCCATTCGTTGTCACCACTCGCGTGTTGTGGAGTTTATATACAAGTACCGCCACCAGTAACAACAACACCAACAATAATACAAACATAAAACATACGTAAATAAACAAATTGTACATACATACATACACATGTGTATATACACAATTGCAATGCGTTCGCTTGACGTTGCATACAGTGTTGTTGCTGCAGCCTGTCAAATTCGTTGGTTTATTGAAGCATTCAAATATGCATGTGCACGAGTGTGTGCGTGCGTGCGTATGTGTCGCCTCAGCTTGTTGGTGGCATGACCAGCATATGTTTTACCATTTTAGGGTGGCGGAAAATTGTGAATGTTCAAAAGAAAATGAAAAATCTATCATTACAAATGCAGCAGTGAGAGATACTCGTTGCAGTGGTGGCAGTAAAAGTTGTAGAGAGAGAAAGAGAGAAGCAGTGAACAAATGTGTCTTAATTACAGTGCAGTCTTGAAAAGTCAGTTTAATACTCGTAATTTGGAGCGTCTTTTTAATTAGTCGCTTTTGTTGTAGTAATTGCATTAAATGTATATTTTTGACTCTTACATTGTTGCAAGTGGCTTTGTTGTAATAAATAACTAAACCATGTTTAAATGGTGATTTATGTACTCTCTGTTCGAGCTGCCGAGATCTGTGAAAACTGTGGGAACAAGCGAACTGAGACGAGCTTAGTAAAAGCGAAAGTGGATTTCCTATATGTTGAGTTTCTTCATACTACATACATGCATATGTCGAGCGAACGAGACTGCCTTATGCAAGCGGACAGAAGAACCTCATACGAGCTAGGATCTTGAGTTTAAATAAGGACCAGACCGAAATCTTCTCTGAATAAAAACGCTTCTCCCATCTAGGAATATCAGTACCTCTGAGCGGGTTTTTGATAAAAGTACCTTTTTTAGCATAGTAATAGCTTCTGAAATTGCAGTGGTACATGAGTTGAGTATGGAGAGGTAAACGGTATCTCTTGTGTGCCACTTGGTCTCCAGAACGAGATTTATTTTGATGATTCTAAGAGCTCTCAAACGACCAAATTCTAACATGAGTAGTCGATGCATCTTTGCTGAAGGATGCTGTTTCTAGAGACTCTCCTAAAATACGCAAGGCGTGTAACATAGATCTAAAATTTTATCTTCTCTCATTGCTTAGATGGCCTATTAAAATTTGTTTCACCTTTCAGTCACATTACCATGATCATATTGCAATTAATGGACTTTACACGGATAAAGTTATTTACAGGAATTTCAGAAGGTGTCGCCCATTCGCTGTAAACGGGATGTAGAGTCGGCCTCTTGGTCGACGACCGTAACGAGGCTATATCGAGGTTCTGTACGCAGTGGGTATACTTTGAGGTGCCCATCCAAACGGCATTTCACACAATCAGCACCATAGGGGAGAGAACACTTGGTCAAACTTGAACAAACATCATTTCCTAAGTACTACCCGACTGCGCTCCTGTATAAGCGCGCCAAGTCAGCGAAATGTTCAAACCGGCTAACCAACCACCACCAGACACATAAGGAAGGAAATCAAGCGTCAAAATACAAACAAATGCGCTGCGTCAGCAATAGCAACAAACACAGCGGTCGAGCAAGGATAGCTTGGCTGAAGTACATGGCTCGACAAATGACAACAAACCGAACGAGTGTAGCAGCGATGCATACCAAAGCGTCATTATCGATTTTTACGCTGACTGCTTGGTTGGTTGGTTGGCAGGCTGATTCGCTGGATTGTATGTTGCTTTAGATATTGTTAGACGGAAAGGATGAAAATGATGAAAGCAGGAAGCAGCAAAGCAGCTATGGAAATTGAATTTTCTCGTAGACTTGGTTTTAATGCGAATGCAAATTGGAAGAGTGATAAGAAAATGTGTATGTATGTGTGTATGTAAACAGCAACAACACCTGTATATGTAGCCAATGCGGAAGTGAAATGGGGAAGGGGGGAAACCACCTAGTACCTAGTAGGATTGGAGTAGAGTGGAATGCTTGGAGTCGTTGAACAGGGCGGGGCAATTACACAATTGTATATATAAGCACACATACACACATATGTACATTCATAAGGCGGTGGGTGGTTGGGTCGTTTTGGCGTTCGCAGACGCACGCACGTATCACTTCCTTTTCTTATACATACACACGATTGGAGAGGCATAATGGGAAAGTGGTTGGGTGGCGACGCGCAGCCACTTGAAGAAGAAGGTACTTGTAGCGAGGTAGATGCTTGTAAAAGTTAAAAGTTATTTTTTTCTAAGCTCTATCGAAGCTGTGCAGCTGCAGCCTGCAACACAACAACATTGTTTGTTGTGCCAAAGGAGGGGGTCAGACATGTCTGGGCTTGCAGAGCCTAAACAAAAAGTAGCAATTACACACTATTCACATGTGTGTGTATGTACATACAATAAATTGTTCGTTTTCTTGTTCATTTAAGATTTTAAAACATGTTTTATTCTTTGATTCACACTAATTTGTTTATACCGCACTTAATCTCACAAGTTGCATTTAAAATTCATAGATCCAATACAACAATAAACCGACACGGTTCGTACACACAAAAACAAACCTTTCACACAAAATCAACGAACGCAAATGCGGGGAAATTCAAATGAAATGCAATGCAAAGAAATCAAAGACATTTCTAATAGGGCTGCCAGCCTCAGTGTTGCTAAACGAAGGGAAAATAAAGTTTGACAGTTCAATCCACACACAATTCTACACATTCAAACGCAACTTTCCCACTGTTAATCCTTAAGAATTAACAAACTCAAACTGAATTTGAAAAGCTCAAATTAGTTAATTCAATATTATTAAATTAACAGACGGTCACAGTTTTGTTTATAAGTGCCCTTTACGGTGCTGGCAACTCTAAATAATGTTTTTACCTAGTTACTCGCTCCTACGAAAGTAGCGAGTGTTATTAAATTGCTTGTTTTAGACAAGGTTGTATGTGCCAATATTAATTTATTTTGTGGTGATAAGTTAAATTTTTACCAAAAACAATATATTATAATGTCGCACGTTACATTAATATCAAGAAACTGCTTACAAAATTATAAAAAAATGAATGCCAACGAAAGGCGAAAGGAATAATGCATACAATTTTTTACTTCTATTTTCAGTGTACTTAACCACGACAACTCTGCTATTTATCTCTATAGCTTTTTTGTTTACTTCGTTATTTATTCGTTTTCTTTAAGGCCAGCTGATATTTATGTAGTCATTGGAAAATTTACAAACAGAAGTACTGGAATTAATTTAATTAAGTGTAAAGTTATATTTTAAGTCCCTAAACAATGGCTGACTACGAACTAATGAACGAGCCCTCGCAATCGCAATCATGGTGGCGTGTAGCAGCCTTAATGGCACTTTATATGCTTACCACAATATTGGTGTTTCTATTGTGGAACTCCGCTTACCATACTATATACTATCCACCCGATGTGCAAGGTGAGTTGTTTTCAAATAAATAATTTAGTAAAACTTCTCATTACTAATTTACTGCAGCTGTACCCGATTTCTGGTATCGTCGTGCCAACCTGTACGCTAACAGTGTGCATGAAAGTACCCTCTCACATGATTTCCGTTTGGTAAAAAATCAATCGGTACGTATAAAATCGCAACATCCTGTTTATTCAACAGATGCTAGCGGTCAACAGCAACCACAAGCGGCACAAAAGGTGAAACCCAATGCACCACAATTGGTGAAGAATGCCCCACCGACAATGAGTACCGAGCCCGTAGTGCGTTTAGTGTGTTACTATTCAGTGCCTGATCCCGATAACGAATTCGATGATTTGCGTTTAGCTAATGTAAATGCTGACCTTTGTACTCACATCAATATCGGCATGGTTAGTGTAAATAATGGTCTATTAGTCATTGGCAACAATTTGCGTCGCATATTATTGCAAGATGTGACCGTGTTGCGTACAATAAATCCAGCTTTGAAGTTCTTGTTGTGGATAGGTGGTGGCGCGAATAGTGATGGTTTTCCGGCAATGGTAAAAAATCATACTACGCGCAAGGCCTTCGTGCATTCGATGAAGCAAACTTTGGCTATGTATAAGCTAGATGGCATTGATTTGGATTGGGAATTTCCCAGCGCTTATAATAAGGAGCGACAACATTTTTCTCAATTAATTTATGAAATACGTCAGGAATATAAACGTGAACGGCGTGATTACATGCTTACAGTCGCGGCAGCTGCGCCTGAAGGTATAGCCGTATTCGCTTACGATGTGCAAATGCTAAACCAGTATGTGGACTATGTGAGTGTGATGTCATATGATTATCATTTTTACTCACATGGTACGCCTTTCACAGGTGAGGATGTAACTTATGCCATTGTTTACTTTAATACTTGATTACTTTACTATTTTTTAAAGGTTTGAATGCACCGTTATATGCACGTCCAAATGAACGCTCATTACTTGGCACCTTAAATATAAATTATTCAGTTAATTGGTGGTTGGCTAATGGTTTAGATCGCAAAAAGTTAATCGTAGGTTTGCCGACCTATGGACACTCATTTACGTAAGCATTTATTCAAGAATTCAAAAAATTAACAAAATTAAACTAAACTATTTTAATTATCCCTCAGCTTGGTAAGCGCTCTAAACTATGCCATCGGTGCACCTGCAGATGGCATTGGACGCTGTGGCAGTCTGGGTTTCACCTCCTATTCGGAGCTTTGCTGGTTCAACACACATAATATAGTGTTGCATGAAGAGTATGATCACTCTACTTGCTCGCCTTATCTTAGTAGCAGCACCGAATGGATTTCTTATGAAAATGAGACCAGCATCGCCTGTAAAGCACTCTATATTAAGAATCATCAACTTGGTGGCGCTATGATATTCTCTTTGAATACGGATGACGTAAAAGGCTATTGTCCACGTGCATATAAAACGAAATTCCCTCTCGTGGAAACTGTTAAATCAATTTTATTTAGTAAAAGCTGAACATTTGGTAAGAGTTTGTGTGGTATAGTCAAATTGTGTTAAGCAAAGTGATATGTAATTCCAATGAGCACATATATGCTTACAGCCATAATCGGCGCAACAGCGCGTACTTGTTTAGTGTATAAGAAAGTTTTAATGTATAAGTAGTTCTTAAATAGCGCAAATTTAAGATGTTTTAAATAGCAAAATACATATATGTCATGACGAATTTTAATTTAACTCTTAAATAAAATAAATACATACGTATACCTGCATATGTAAAATTAATACAGATTGCTTATTAATTCCACTTAAATTAACAATATAAATGGTACAGATATTCCACTACTTTGTCCAAGAAACTTTTGGTATATCGAAATGCTCCGTCAAAGAATCCAGATGCTCATTAAACTTTTCGACTCGTTCCTTATGTGTGGTGGAGGCCTTTTCCATTATTCGTTTGTTACGCTATAATTTATATTTATATCATAGTAATTATGTTTTCATATCAACATATATATATTTTGTACACTCACCATTTTTTCTTGCTGCTGTTTGAACGCTAGTTCAGCCTTGGTCAACTTTGGTGCACTGCTGCTAGTGATTTTATCTTCCAAAGATTCGTTTACACTTGTTTGTAATGATTCTTTTGCACGCTCTTTTACCTTCTCCTTGCGTTTGTGCTTACTCTTTTTCTTTTTCTTGTGTTCGCTATCATTTTTAAGTTTTAATTTACTCTTTGCCACAAACTCATACGCATCCGACATCGTCAAAACAAAATGTGTAAATAAATGGAAATAACACAATACTGCTATATATATACCAATTATTCACAATAGATTTTCTAATGCATAGTGACATTGGCTGAGGTTTAACCTCATTTTTAGAATCTCGAAAGTACTTTTGCCAAAAATAATGGTGTGTTTTTTCCTTTTATGAACTGAAACACGATATAATTCACAATTTGCTTTGACTAAAGTATTTTTTATTGAAATTCTATTTTTAAATAACAGTGTTTTGTTTTTACACTCATATATCTTGGCTACCCTAACATTTTGACAATTGCGTCTGTAGTGACATTCGCTGTTGTTATCTATCAATTCGTTTTATGTTCTTACTTCGTTGTTGAATTTCTCGCAATTTCTTCAGTATTTTTTCTGCTGTGTTCTGTAAAGTAGTGAAAAGCTCGAATTCATTTCTTTTTTATTTGTTATTTGTGTGATAATTCAATTAAAAAGAAAACAAGTGCACAACCGTAAAAAAAGTAATTGTACCTGGCCGTGCGATTATTAGTACTAGACGGTGGTAAAAGTGTTAGGTGTGTGAAAAGATTTAACGACTGAAATTTTCGCAGTGAAAATTTTTGAGTGCACAAAATTCAAACGCACACATACACAAAAGCGTACACGCACATCCACTTACACCCGCGCGGAGGAGTGGCAGAGGCAGCGATATACAGCGCAGACACGACAAAACACACGCGCGCCCCATGCACGACGCACCAGAGTATAAACACAGCAGCAGCAGCAGTAGTAGCAGTCGTGACCAGCAGCAGCAGCAGCACCACCATCAGCTTGGAAGAGCGACAGCAGTCGTCGCGACTGGACCTGGAGGACCAAGGATAGTACCAACAGCATCTACGCATTTACCCACAACCAACCTCAGCAAAACAAACACATCCTCAATGGAATCGATTGGGCATAGAATACACAGACTGGAAAAACGTCTCGAAGAGGAGAATAATTCACATAATCATCTAATGTTTGTTACCGAAACACCAAGTGGTTCAACACCCCGTGTTGGTGACAGAGATGTACACATGTCCCTACCACTCGGCAAGATAAAACGCCCCAGTCTGGGTTGTAAGTATTGCAAGAACGGTTTTTAAGTAAAGAAAAAACTATAATAATGCAAATAATAGTGTTGATAAGTGGTGGCAAAGTACTAACAGGAATAAACGCTGTTTCTGCAAAATGCATTGGTTTGCTAATACACAAAAGAACTAACTTCGCACGTACCTACTTTTTTTTTCTTTTGCGATGAGTCGCTTATAAAAGAAGGTTGCTGACATTAGGTGCCAGCAAAGAGGGTTCATACAAAGCTTTTGTTTCCTCGCAAGTATGCGTCGAATGCTGCAGCAGTGCAGGCGCTTTTAACCAACCCTCCTGGCACCACCCACATACGTAGTATGTACATATATACACACATATGTAAGCAGAAATGCTTAAATAAATGTATATAGCCGTAAAATAAGACAACTTGAGCACTGCTGTTGCGGTCGGGTATACCAATGATTCCTTTAACGTGCCTGCCACCCTTTGTACGTGCTTTACTTGCTCTGTATAAATGTATGGATGAGCAGCAAAAACAACAACAACAACAGTACTGTCAATGCTTTCCAACCTAAGTTGTCCGCACACCCCTGCGCTAGCGCGTGGCGCTAGCACTATGCTGTTTGTCCCAGCATAAAAGCGTCAACGCTATAGTTAATCCTGCAATAGCATTTGTTGCTGCTTTAACAATTCCTCGCCTTCAGGCTCATATACACACACAGATACGATGTACACACAAATCCATTGACTTTGTCGTCTGCGTTATGTGCTGATGTGGTACACATAGTAGCGACTTGCTTTACTTTTATTGTTGTTATATTTGCTGTTGTTGACGCTGCTTTCGTCATTGACGTCTACATTGGATATTTCTGATATGTATGTAATAAATGATATGTATGTATATAAAGAGCGTGTGTGCTGCACTATCGTCTATTGTGGCTATCGTCTGCGTTTTTTCTTAATTTTTTTTTGTCGCCATCTATTTCGCTTATGCTTTTTATATTTTCATATGGTATTTCTTGCTTTTTATATTATTATTGTTGTAGTTGGTCGACCAATTCGTACATTTGTTGGTAATTTTATTTTCCTGCAAACCTTTTACTTGTTTTTGTTTTTGGTGCTTTTTCTTTTTCCTCTTCAATAAGACGTTGTTACTGTTTTTCTGTAAATCCTATGCTGATAAGTATGTGCGTATGTATGCCTGTGCCGCTTGTATGTTTATTTATTTTCATTGTTGTTGCGTATGGTTGGATTTTTTGGTATTTCCGGACGAGCATTACAGCCGCATACATATACATGGATGTATGTATGTACATATGTATAATTTGACTGTAGCTTGCTTCATTCGCTAGCGTTTTTTTGTTGTTATTAATGAGCATTAAGTATTTTTTTTTATCAAAAACGTTATTAAGCACATATGTATGTACCGCGACTGACACGCTGACGTCGTCGCCTACATGTTTGTGTTTAACTTTAAGCTTGGTCGTCGTCGCCGGCGTCGACGTTGCAGCCGGAATTTTCAACGTCTGCTCATAGTTTTTTGTTGCATTAGTTTTTGCTGTCTTGTCGGTAAATTATTTTCTTTGCTAGTATGCAAAATTTTTTTGTTTGCTTTTTAGCTTGGCGCAGCTGTTTTACAATTTAATTTTCTTTTTTTGTTTGGTTTTGCTTTGTTGATAGCTGTGCAATGGTGTGGGGTTAGTGGGTTGATAAGTTGAAAGAGATGTGAAAATTGCAAAGCATGTTGTTGTAGGGATACGTCTATTGTGAATTGTCATCATTGTTGATGTACATTGTTGTATATTTTTGCTAACTTTGTCAGTTGTCAGTTGATATGAGGTTTGTGGGTGGTGGTAAGGCAAATGTTTAGTTGAATGTTGGGCGTTTCATGCAATCATTTTTTTTTTTTTTTTGGCAACAATGCTCAATCAAAGCGGAAATACAATACATTTCTTACCAGCTGCAATGCGACAATGAGAATGGGTCAACTTAATGAATGAGAGCGCTGATGCGGTGCGGTTTAGAGGGGAATGTTTATTTTTGATTTATTGATTTCCTCTACATTTTGTACTACCCATCAATTTTCGTTCGACCTGCTTTTAAGGCTACAATGCTCAATACAATTTGGGGCAAATAGTAGGATTTGAGGATTTTAAATAGAGCAGAATTGAATGGTGAACAGAAAAATGAGATATTTTGATTGCTTAATAAAACCAATTTTTTTATATATTTACATATTTAAAAAAAAATAATGAATTAATTATTTAAATTAAAATTAAAAGTAACATTTAATTTAGAATTATTATTTAAATGAAAAATATTTTTAAAATTAAATTTACCAATTAAATTAAAATTTATGTACAAATTAAAATTATTATTAATATTAAAATTATTAATTGTCAACATTTCAAATTGCAATTAAATAAAAAAATATCCTTTTTCTTTGTCTTTCCAGTAGTCGTACCCAGTTCAAATCGCAATGCACCACAAAATGAAATGCACAAAAAACTTAAACGGATACGCCAGCAATCTGGTATTCTCACTATAAATGGTCAAAAATACACGAGTATTATGTCCGATTTAGAGCATTTAAGTGATTTGGGTAATGGTACTAGTGGGAATGTGGTGAAAATGCGACACAAACTTACGGGCACAATATTGGCTGTGAAACAAATGCGTAGTACTGGGAATGACGAGGAGAATAATCGTATACTTATGGATCTCGATGTTATACTAAATTCACATGACTGCCCATATATAGTGCATTGTTTAGGTTATTTTGTAAATATACCAGATGTATGGATTTGCATGGAACTGATGTCAATGTGTTTTGATAAGCTGCTAAGACGTTCCAAACAGCCCGTACCCGAGAATATTCTCGGTAAAGTCACTGTAGCGGTAAGTAAAACACATGAAAATGGTGAATAAAAATCACTATACTATCGAGGAAACAAAAATATATATTGTGGTGAAAAGAAGTGAAGTAATATGGTTGTAAAAGATACTGACCACTATACTATCGAGGAACTAAAAGTATTTTGTAAAGTTTTTGTGTTAACAATTGCTTTTAAGTATTACCAAATTATAATAACCGCTATATTAGCAAAGAATTGAGCGTTTAACATGATTGTTATTATCACAGTTCTATAACTGAATTTCCTTTCTCCAGACGGTGCACGCCCTGTCATATCTAAAGATGAAACACAACGTCATACATCGCGATGTGAAACCTTCAAATATTCTCATCGATGAACAAGGAAATATTAAATTATGTGATTTCGGCATTAGCGGACGACTTGTGGATTCAAAAGCGAACACACGTTCTGCTGGTTGCGCTGCTTATATGGCGGTAAGTGTTAATATTTTGAAAAGCAAACAAAAATATACGTTACATTTTTACAATTGTTATACAACAATTACAGCCCGAACGAATCGATCCGAAAAAGCCAAAATACGACATACGTGCCGATGTTTGGTCCTTGGGGATAACACTTGTGGAACTCGCTACCGGCCGCTCGCCATACGAAGGCTGTAATATAGATTTTGAGGTGCTTACCAAAATTCTAGACCACGAACCACCCAGTCTGCCATATGGTGAAGGTTTCGATTTCAGCCAAGAATTTCGTGATTTCGTCGATAAATGGTGCGTAAAAAATATTATTGAAAAGTAAATAATGCTTATATTAATTAACGAAAAATTGTATTTCTAACCAAAAGTCTGACGAAGAATGTACATCATCGACCTAGATATCAGGAACTCTTACAACAGCCATTTTTTCGCTACTACGATGCGGCTGATGTGAATGTGATTCAATGGTTTAAGACTGTTGTCGAATCTGCCGACATAGAGATGCATAGGTATGTTTTTGTATGAGGTTTATTTAATTTAATTTTATGGTCTACAAATCAAGTTATGCAAAATTACATGCTACCTTCTCGCCGCTCCATGCTAGCTATTGTCACGTTTTCACACTTTATTTTATGGTTTTTTCAAAATTTATTTTCTCTAAGTCTACAGTTTAACGAGGTAGGATTGTGTGTTACTTGTAAATACGTTTCGAAAATTTGCAAGAAAAAAAATTGTTTTTTGATGTTGTCAAAAACTTCATTGCTAACGGAAAACGTATTAAGCTAAAATTTTGATTTTTACTAGCGCTAAAAGAGAGTGCTATTTTCACAAATACTTAATAAAAAATAAATAATTGCAGCAAACTTTATTGCGCTAGTCCTTTCTAAACTTATCGCTTACAACGCCCGGCAAAATTGTTCCTTCGAAACAGTTTTTTTTATAGTCTATTTTAATAACGGTAAAAGCGCATGAGTAAGTTCTTTATGTTCTTAATTTTATTTAGTAACCACCATAACAAGTTATTCAATGCTTTCCTTTCTTTTCTTTTCTCAATTTGCATTTTTTTTGTTACTTTCTATTAAATTTTATTCTCGCTACTTTTCAGTTTTCGCAGAGTTTTAAATTTTTCCTGCAACCCTTTTGATAAATTTAATTTGCAGTATTTTTTAAAACTTTCACTTATGCTGCTAACACTCATACATTCTACTAATATAATCTAATAATAAAAAATATGCATAAAATACAACAAAAAAAAAACAACTACTTTTGCGCCCAACATAATTTTTGCGTTTTATTATTTAATTATTTTGTTTTTTTTTCTTTCTTTTTATTGAAATTTTTTGTAGGTTACCTAATTCCTAATCTTTTACCCCCTCAAAAATAATAAAACAAACAATAAATCATACTCTCCTAATTCAGTAAGTATAATTTTTTTGTTCAATTATTTTATTTGTTTATTGTTGTTGTGTTCATATCATTATTACATAGAATTTGCTTTTAATTTCCGGTTGTTGGCTCGTTAAAATAGAGATTTTATTTGGCTTTGCTTTTCTAAATTTCATTTTTGTTTTAAATTGTTATTTATATTAATTATTTAACGGATTATGGATTTTTTGCTGTTTAATTTTAGCGGTATGTATGATATTTTATTGAAAAAAAGTAAGTTTGGTTTCTTTTAATTCCTAGTAACTGCTGATAACATCAAAATTCTTGAAAAATTTTAAATAAATATTTGTATTCTCATTTGCAACTGCATTTCATTTCATTTTTATACATCCTTTAAAAAAAAAATAATGAAACACTTTGTAGGAAAAGTTTTTAGTACCACGTAGTTAACGTAAAACACAGTAGCTATGAATACACAATCACAAGGATTTTCTGTCAACCAAACATTAGAAAAACACTTTATAACTAAAATGTTTTTTGAAAAAATATTTTTAAAAATTTATAAAAAGAGCGGCGAGTGTACTAACCACTATGCTATCGAGGAAAATTAATCAAAAGCAAACAGAGTAATTTTTTAATCTTTATTAGCTTGTATGTTAACCACTATACTAGCGAGGAAAATTAAGTAAAGGTGAAAATTGCAACAAACTTATTAGAAAGTCTGTAGTGGTGCTGTATGTTGGCAGGTATTTTATCCACTAAACTTTCGACGAAAATTTAACAGAGAACTATGTGAAGTGAAAACTTTTTTTTTTAATAATTTTCACCGCTTACTATAATGGAAAATTAAGTGAAAGTAAAAGCTGAGAAAACTTTTTTGAAAGTCTTTAATAGTGTTGAAACTAACCACTATGCTATCGAGAAAAATCAAGTAAGATTTGTTGGAAAATGGTAGGGGCTATTTTAACCGCAATACTCTCGCTAGAACTTTTTTTTTAAGGTTTTGTACTTAAAGTTGTAGGAAAATTTGAACAACTGTAGAGTGATAATTGTGTTAGGGTGCTCTTACTATCGAAGAAAAAGTTTTTACAAATATTGGGGCCTTTATAATATGCTCACCATATATATTTAAAGTGAAAATGATAAAGCGTCAAGGAAGACGACGTGTCTAATTAAAGTATTTCTTCATAATTCTTAAATATTTGAGTCAATATTATGAGCTCTACGCATTTTGGGTCTACAGAAGTAGATTTTTACGTATTTTCTAGTCGGAAAAAAGCTGCGATAAAGTTAGTTGAGGGTTGACAACTAGAACTTCTTGTTAGAAAGTCAAACCTTTATAAAGATTTTTAACTACAAACAACATTTTCCATTATACGAAATGCTTTCCGTCTGTAAGTACTAAAAAGCTTCGATAAGTGTCTCCGTTGGTTTATTATAAGCAACCTCCTTGAGAGTAGAGCTAGCCTGTTTAATCCTTGCTTCTATTTACTTGTCACACAACAATGCATTGGCACATCCTTCACCTCCCATCTTCTTTGCTCATCTTTCATCTTCAATGTATACATTTTAAATAAAATTAGTTAAAACACTTTTTATGTTTATCATCCGAGCAACAACAATTTTGTTGCGTCATAAATAATTCGTGTCATGACTTTTACAGAACTCACATGCCAATAACGACAACAACAACCACAGCTACACTCAGAGGAGATGTAACCGTGATAGGAAATAATAAACATAATAAAATTGCAATGACAACAATATTGCCACCTACAACAGCAACAACCATAACAGGAACAGCAACGACAATAAATCCGAAAATGCCAGCAGCAAGCACTACACACATACCCAGCTATCAGAATTCGTATCATAGCGCCAGCACAGCCACAGCTACACAATCCACACAGCCACAAATGCTTGCGTCACGCTATAAAAAAGACGATTACCTGCCACAATATCCACATGCGCAAACGCAATTGTCACACCATCATCATCATCATCATCATCAACCATCACAACTACCTCAGCCGATTGCAAGCTATTACAACAACAGCATCGCCAACAATCATTTGCAGGGCGAGCGGGGCGGAGGTGGACTCGGTGTTGGTGGTGGCGGCGCTTTAGGCAGTAGTGGTGGCGGTAATGGCTATGGCAGTGGTGGCTCAGGCAGCAACAGCGCCAATAGTAGTAGTCCACAATCACCGCCGAGCAGCAGTTATAAAAATGCAGCTTTCAAAGACGACACGACACACATTGTCAGTGAGATGAGCAAGCTGTATCGTAAATCACCATTTTCGCAGCGTAAATATAGCAATGGTGCGAGCTTAAAATACACCAGCGGTGCAGAGAGTCCCAAAAAGGAGTCAATGTTCAGTAGTATAGGTGAGTGAGTTAGCTGTAGCTTGTCAACTTTAGAATTTTAATAAAAAAATACTTTTGCTTCCCGCAGGTCAATCGATTATACGCAACCTTACCACATCGCCCTTTAGCCAAAAAAAGCATCATACACCGCAGCCACATCAGGTGGATCCACTGTGGCGTATGCCGAATGTACATGAGATGGGCGGCAATGCTTTCGATACGTACGATAGTCCAGAGACAACGAAAACCTTCGCTATTGGCTCACCAGCAATGGCGCGCAAGCGTTTTCAAACAGCCTCTGCCACGCCTACACACACATTGCCGATAGGTGCAGTTGTAGAAGCGCCATTGAAGGAGCAACAGCCGTCATTGATACCGGTTAATCGTGGCGAGTTGAATACGTCGCAACGCGTACCCGGCAATCATAGCCCAATAGGTAGGTGTGCAAAAGACAGAGTTTGGCTGAAGGTAGTTTTTTCTATAAATCTCTGACGCATACTTATTTACAGTGCTGCAACGTTTTTATCACCAACAAAATCAGCTGCGCGAAAAAGAGCTGGAAAAGCGTAAGGAACAACAAAAGCAAACCACAAATCCCTTTCTCGCCGGCAATTATCAGTCAACAACAGCTGCTAACGTATCAGCGAATACGTCTTTTCAGTATACTAGCGGCAACCAACAACAACAGCACCATCAGCGTTACCCACAACAACAAACGCACCAACAACACTTGCCACTAACCAGCGCTGCCTCCTCATCACATTCAACTTCTAGTCAATCATCCACTCAATCCTCATCCTCACAAATCGCTATGAGCGATTATTATGAACAACAACAACAGCTGCGTTCGCCACCTACAAGCGCGCCACCGCCACCTCCGGCGGTGGCATCATCATCATCATCGTTATCATCACAACAACAACAGCCAACAGCTTTCGGCACGAGTCCCAGTCAGTTGCAATATCAGCCGTTGCCACAACACTACTTACCGTTGAATGAGACGGCGGTACGTAGCTCGCGTTCGCCGCCCACCTCGCCGGAGCAAGTGTCTTCGGATGGTGGTGTGAGTGGCAGTGGCAGTGGCGGTGGCGGTGGGATGGCGAGTAAGTTGAGTAAATTGTATGCACGTCGACAGTGGCAGACGACAACAGCGGCCACCATACCAACACATACAGGCGTTGAAGGTGTCGTTGGTGGTGCAGGCGTTGGCTTGGGAGGCAAGGATTATAGGGACGAGCATGGTAAGTGACTTACTTCTGGCATCTTCGTTTGCTACTAGATCATATTAGTTTTATTGCACATCAGCACAGTTTCAATTTGTTTCATTGAAAATATTATTTGCGTGCCTAAATGTATGCTATATAAATTTGATGGGTTGAAAAAAAAACTTTTTTGGGCGCTTACGCCTTAGAAATGTAAGAAGGGCAAGCGAAAAGTATAATTTGTGAGTTCAAAAATATGTAGATAAAAATATTGAACTGTATTGAAGATAAAATAAAATTAAAAAATAATTGCTTGTGTTGGAAGAGGTGAACTTTAGTTCATTAGTTAAGTGTACAATTTTTAATATTTAATTTATTTTAAATTTTAATCATAAAAAGTAAATTACGATTGATCTCAAAAGTTGTGTTTAAAAATATTTGTCTGTGTCGGAAATATGAATTTTTTAATCATTATTTAGACGTTAAACATTTACAATATTTTTAATTTTATTTATTCTTTTTCACTAAATATTTTCTTAAAATTATGAAAAGTAAAACTGAGTTTTTATTTCAATAATCATGTCAAAATAAATTAATTTCTAATAAATAACTCAAAAAATAAAAAATTGTCTCTGATAGAGTAATTCGTCTAAAATCATCATCATTATATATATAATATTTTATTTAATTTTTTTTTATAATTTCAAATTAATTGTTCTTTTAGTTGTTTAAATTTTTTTTACATATTTTTTTACTTTAATATTTTTTTTCTACGAAATAATTCTAAAAATGATAAAAGAACTATACTATTTTTATTTAAAGAATAAAATTAATTCAAAAAATATATATTTGCTCTGGCAAAAATGGTAAAAAGTAGAAAATTTTAAGTATATTATTAATTTTTTTTGTAATTTTCAATTATATTTATTTATTTTGAATTAATTTACATTTATTTTTATTTTTTTTTTATTTAAATTATTTTAATTTTTTTTATTTAAATTATTGTTTTTATTTTAAATTATTGTTTTTATTTTAAATTATTGTTTTTAATTTAAATTATTATTTCTTTCTAATTTTTAATGAATTTATATTTTTTTATTTAAATCATTTTTATTTTTTTAATTTAAATTATTATTATTATCTTTTTTAATTCACTTTGTTTTATTTTTTTTAATGATTTATTTTTATTTTCTTAAATTTTAATTAAAATTTTTTCTAGTTGTAAATTATTCTGTTTTAAATTTTTTTATTCCGACACAATGCTGAAAATGACAAAAATAATCAAATCTATATTTTTTATTTTTAAAACTATATTTTTATTTTAAAAATTTAACTAAATAATTATATTTCTATTGTCAAATTAAAGAAATGCTGAAATATGTGGACGAAAATTATTATTTGCCATTTATAGACGTGACAATTTATACTTTTCGCTTTGCTCTTTCTTTTAAATATTTTTCAACACACCACAGTTCGTTTTTTATATTTTTTCGTCTCATGTGTATGTATTTCACGGCATATATTTTTCTCATTTATTCTCTTTTATCTTTTCAATGCTTTGCTTGGCTGCCAATAATAAAAAAAAATTTAACACGCTTGCTTTTTAAAAACAAAAAAAAATTAAATATTTTATAAAAATTTGATTTGTAAAAAAATGCAATGCGAACTCACCACATTTTATATCTCTGCACTCTTAAACTACACGCTCTTAACAACTCATTTAATGCTTGCCTCTCTCATGCTCTCTCAAATCTCAACTCACTAACTCATCTTTTTCACCACATCATCACTCAATGTTATCATCTCTTGCTTGTCAACTTCAATACACCAACCACACCTCAACTTTACGCACTTATTATATGTATTCACCTTCACCACGACCAAAACACATCACTTACTCACCACAACAGGCTGGTTTAATACACTTGCCGGCGCCATGAAGCGTCAATTTGCCTCTTATGTTAAATTACAATTGCATTCTGCAGCCTCACCATCATCCAGTGGCGTCGTCAGTCAGCAGCATGAGGGTGTTGGTGGTTATGAGGGCGCTTTGCCACCCAGCGCACAACCTAGCAAACCGACTTTAGCCTATTATCGTACACTCTCAGCGGGTAGTAGTAGTAATACGAGCAACAGTACTTCGCCCATAGAGGCGCCAACAAAAGCGGGCAGTCAGGCGAACACCACCAGTGACTTTTATGATGGCACAAGCGGTTTTCTGCGTCGTTATGCAGCGGCTGGTGCCAGTGGCATGACCGGCGGCACATCAAATGCGCATTTGCTCACCGGTTTGGATCGTCGGCATCGCAGCCCAGATCCCCCACCGCGCTACAATCGCGGTCAATCGCCATTGCTGTTGCGCAAACAGTTGCTGGAGTTGAGCGGCCAACCCCCTGGCGGTTCTCCACTACTCAATAGACGGTTAGTAATTTGTGATTTGATTTTTTTCGTTATCATTTGTAAGCATTTTCCATTTCTCCCTCCAGATACGTCAACGCTTCACCACCGCTACCACCACCGCGTCGCGGATCGGAAAGTGTACCCGGTTCACCGCAACATTTCCGCACACGCATACATTACACACCCGAACCACAACGGCGTATATATCGTACGATCGACCAATGAGTAGCGTTGCAAATAATGCTTATGTGATATTGGTATGGCTTTGAGGAGAATGCGAGTGGTGAGACGGGCAGTATTGGCGCTGGCACTGGTGTGGGCGGCATTGGTGTATGCGCAACCACGCAGGATGATGCGGCATTGTTGGTAGCGCCTCACGCCGCTACACGTAGGCGCCTGCTGCCTACACGTTTTAGCGTCGACAGCAGTGGCGATGCGTTGCATACACAACTGGCGAGCGGCGCGCCACCCATCACCACCAGCCCGACAGTGGATCGTATGACTGCTTCGGATGTAGCGGATGTGTTGGCGCGTGAACGTGACTTATGGCGTTTGCGACGCGGCGACGAGTAGCAGCAGCGTCTGCGCATTTGTGTCTTTTTTTGGAACGGTCAGTTGTTGGCTCGGTCGTTCGTTGGTGTTTCAGTTGGAATTTTGTGATTTTCGTTGTTAAGCTTATAGTGGCTATGCTGTGCTATGTTTGTGTAAATGTGTATGCGTAACAAGTGTGTTCATATGTGAGAAAAGTGTGGCAGCACAAAGGCTTTTAGTCAGGCATTCATGTAAACGGTGCAATAGATCGGTAACCACCACAATCTAACCTCACCTGTTATACACATATAAATATGTATTTGGAACCGCAGCGGCGATTTTCGGCAAAAATAAACTAACAGTAACGATAATAACTTTGAAAAGTGTTCAAGCGATGTTGAAAGTGTATTAAAGTTAGGAAAAAAAAGTTTTTACAAAAATTTAAAATAAATGAATTAATTGTCACATTAATTAATGTAAGCAAGAAAAAATTTTTGAAAAACTTTTTCGAAATCAGTTTTAAATGCTTAAAAACGCCTGAAAAACTTTTGACCACTCAAAAAAATTTTTTCTTCACAGGCTTCTATATTTTTCAATGATTTCCTGAAAATTCATTGGAAGTTTGTTTCACAACGTTTAATTTTTGTCTTCAACTATTTCGAACTTGTGTAAATAACTAAATATAATTGTGTACTGTTTTGTTAGCTTATCAGCATCTGTGTTAACGTTTTCTAAAGTGGTATAAAACTGGCATAATTTTTGGAAACCATTATTTTATGATTTATTCACTTTTAGTTTGTTTTTTTTTTACAACATTTCTTGTTTTTTTAAATTTTCGATACTTCTTGTTATTTTAATTTCCAGTTACTAAATTAAAAATTATTAAAAGTGCTCAAAAATTTGTTGAAAATTGTTTTTTAACTTTCTTTTAAGCTCGTATACTTGGTCAATTATAATTTTATGTTGGTCGATTCGTTTATAAAAACGCTTTATATTAACGTTATTATTATTATTAACGTTTTTTAAAACTGGTATAAGTTGACATAATTTTTTTAAACCACTTTTTAAATATTTTTTTAAATTCTGATGTTTTTTGAAAACTCATATGTTTCTAAAAACAACTTGTTTAAATTTTTTTTTCAAAAATTTAGGTGTTTTGAAAACTGGTATAAAACTGTAATAATTTTTGAAACTTAGTTTTTGAATATTTTGGCAACTTTTAAACGTTTTGAAAATTGGTATGAAACTGTTATATATTTCTAAAAACAACTTGTTTTATTTTCTCACGTTTTAATCATTTAAACTGATATAAAACCGGCATAAATGTTGGGAAACTAGTTTTTTAATATTAGACAGCATTTAACAGTTTTTAAAACTGGCATCATTTTTGAAAACAATTTTTATTTAATTTTTTTCACCTACTAAGCGCTTTTGAAACTGGTATAAAACTGATATAATTATAGAAAACTAGTTTCTGGACTTTTTTCACCTTTTTCTAAACTTATATTAAACTGGTATAATTTTTGAAATCAACTTTTTTAATATATTTCTCGCATTTTAAACGTTTTCTAAACTGATACAATACTGATATAATTTTTGAAAGCATCTTTTTTTTACATATTTCTCACATTTTAAGCGTTTTCTAAACCGGTATAATTTTTTAAAATAACTTGTTTTAAATATTTTTCACATTTTAACCATTCTCTAAACTGGTCTAATTTTTGTAAACAACCTTTTCAATATTATTCTCAAATTTTAAGCCTTTTCTAAACTGATAAAAAACTGGTATAATTTTTGAAAACGGTTTTTATTTTTTGTAATTTTCTCACATATTGGATATTTGCATACTCACATTATAATTATAAAAAAACGACCAAATTATTTTGATTACCATTGACGAACATGCAAGTTACGCATATAAACACACTTGCTATGTATTTATGCACTTGAACGGTTTCGATTGTTTATATAATCTATTGCAAATCAATGCGTGAAAAGCAAAGAAAAATAAAATTTTTAATAAAGACCAGTATGCAATGCACAAACATATTTAATTGAATTGACGAAATTTGGGCTTTTTAAAAAATTAATTTGTAAAAGAAATATTAATGCTTGACAATTTGTATATGGGTTAGTTTTAAGCGCAAACATAGCGTTCCTTAAGCTTAGGAAATTATAAGAGAATATGTTTATATGTAGGCTTTGTATCTGCATATGTATGTATGTATATGAAATAGCTGCTTTACATGAAATTTTATAACTGGTATAAAATTGTTATACGCGAAAAACAAAGAGATAATAAATAATAATAACCAAATATTGTCAATAGCTATATGTTTGTAAATTTGCTGTGCAAAAAAAAAAATTGATACACAAAACAAAACGACTGCTGTAAGAAAATGAAGAGAAGAGTTTGAAAAACTAGTCTTAAATAGGGCTTTGGTTGAGAAAAAAATGTTTTCGCTCGGATTTTTGTAACAAAAATAAAAAATAAATAATAAACGTAAAATATTGCAAAAAATTATAATAATGAATTTGACATAAACACGGAATAATGTATGCATGTAACAGTAACATATTTAAATTCTCGATAAAAAAAAAATAGGAGCGTGGCTTATGTTTGTTTTATTATAAAAAAATATGTATATTCAAAAATCATCTAAATGCTTTTGGAGCATACAAAAAGATTTGTGAGACTTAAAAGAACGAAAAAGTAAAAATAGCGCAGAAAATAGAAATTAGAAAAGTTAGTTCCTTAACGAAGTCACAGACACTCGAGCATAAGAAAATATTTGCTAAATCATACAAAAATATAAAAGTAAATTAAGAAGAAATTGTAAGCATAAAAACTAGTAATTAAAATTACAGAAATGAAACGCCAAATTGTCTAATATTGGATATTTGTATATTTCAAATTTTAACATTTTTCAAACCCCTATGCAGTTCATTTTCAATTATAAAAAATTAAAAAAACAACTTATTTTGACTGACTTGAACAATTTTTTTTTTTGTTTTGGTGAAATTGTTTGTTTGTATGGAATTGTCATGTATTTTGTAGGTCTAGTCTTTAAATTAAATTTAATAAGTATAATGACAAAAGAAAAACAAAAAAAAATAAATAAAAAAAATTGTAATAATTTAAAAAAATTCTAGTGTAAATGTTAAGCGAAAAAATGTGTATAAATTTATTAGTATGTATATTTGAACGTCGGTTAGCTACAAAGCAGCGTTAAAGTTAGCGAAAATAATATTTTATTATTATAAAAGAAAGTAGAATAGCTATAGCGTACAGATTTTTCAAATAATGCCTAACGACTGTAAAATTCTGAAAATGACAATCCAGCGAGTTAGCGAGAGTTAGAGAATTTTTTAAGCAGATTTAGAATTATCTTTTTTTCGATAGCTTTTAGAAGTAGGCCACAACAAATTTCACTGAAAAAACTACGTTTTTGCGAATTTTTCAAAGTTTACATTTTTAAAAGTAAATTTGAATACTTTTCACATGATAATATTAAACTTTTTATTTTTTCAACTTTTTTTTAAGTTTAATTTTATCTTTTATATTATTTAAATTATTTTTTTAATATTTTTTTTAGTTTATTTTAATATTTATATTTTAATTTATATTTTATAATTTATTTTTAATGAAAAAAATCATATGTCTGTTTTTCTGCTTCGGTATTTTTTTAAGGACACCGAGTTAACGCCAAATGGCTCATTACAACCTAGCATAAAATTGCGAAAAGTTGAATCTTTAATAAAACGGAAAAATAGATAAACAAAAAAATTTAAATAGCAAATAAATTGCCAGCGAGCATCACTTGCCCAGCAACTACATAAAAAATAAAATCTTCTTCAGACATTTTAAATAATATCACAAAATATTTTCTTAAACTGGTCTAAAAACTGGCATAGATGGTTTACACACAAAATTAATTATATTAATGAAAACTTATATTTAAATTATTTTTCTCAATCTCGAAAATATTTTCTCAAACTGGTCTAAAAACTGGCATAAATAGTAAACGAACGAAGTTTGGCAAATTTATAATTTTTTGTGAAGATTTATAATTAAATTACTCACCACAGTGACAGAAAACCATTTCCTAAACTGGTCTAAAAACTGGCATAAATTTGTTTGCACTTTATAACCATTTTTCATTTAAATTAATTTTTAATTCTATTCTTATTTTTTATTTTTTTAATTTAATTTTATATTAAAATCTATAACCTCGCTTTCACACAACTAAACAATTAAATTGAAAACATCTACGTATTCAAACTTCAAATAAGTGAAATAGAAAATAATTAGTATTTAATGTTAATCTAGCGTCTCTATATGAAATTAAACATATTTAATTAAAATTAAATGCGTAAACTCTTTTTTTTTCGAAAATTATAAACCGACTGTAAACATTATAAACATATATATATATATAAGTATGTATATGTAATTATTTAAATGCATATATGTACGTACCTCTGAATCCGTTAAGTAAAAAGAAAAAGTGTTTGTAAATTATCTTAATATACATACATACAAATTGTAAAGCTTATGCATATGTACTACTGTATATATGTATGTATTGTAATTATTTGTAAATTTAAGTTTAACTCAGTGCTGTAGCTTAATTTATTATGTTAATTACTTAATAGCGAAAAATATTCACACACACAGACACAAATTAAATGAATAATTAAACAGTTCATTGAAATCTGCAGTCAGCAATACAAGTTTTCGCTCATTTAATTTGCAAAACAAATAGGAAAAAATACAAAAACAAAAAAATGCTGGCATTCATTTTAGCTTTTTTCAATAAAATGTTTTTGACATTAATTAATTAATTAATATAAATATGTATATTTAATTATTTAATTGCATTAAGTCAAGTACGTTTAATTTATAAAGCAATGTAAACTGTACCTTACACTGTGTGCGAAAACCATGTGTAGTCATCATATGCATGGCAACAATAACGAAAACAATTAAAAATTTCCCACACTTGTGCTGTTACATATTTTTAAATAATTATTTGCTGCTGTTTATAGACTTGAAAAAAAATTATAAATTTAAATATATTGTATGTATAATTAATTAAAATATATAATTAATTTATTATTACAAGTAAAAAAAATAGAAGTTAATAGAATTTGTTGCTATTTTATAACATTCGTACAGAACAATTCAATACATAGTACATAGGAGTACATACATACCCGCCCCCTTCCAGAAAAACCTATGAAAATCCATACTGAAGTTTATAAAAAGAAAAATTAAGTACTTTATCGTAACTTTTAAAAAATTTATTTAAAACAAAAATAATTATTATTCAAAAACATATTACGAAAAGAAGCAAAAATAAAAAAAAAACACTGATGAAAATATTTAAAAAAGAAAATAATTATGTAATCATTAAAAAAAAAATATTTATAAAAAATAAAAATACTTATAAAAAATGTATGCGATATATTTAAACGTAAAAAACGAAATTAAATAAAAAAAATAAAATTTGGTCAAGAAAAACTATGTACGAATATGTGTGAGCAAAAATAAAAATAAAAAACAAAAACAAACTGCGCTATCGAGATATAAATTTAAATGAATAGGCCGCTAACAAAAGGGAAAGCTAAAACTGAAAATGATAAAATATATTAAGCAAAAATTCGAAAAGAAAAAATTAAATAATTAAAAAGATATATAAATAAATAAAAAAACGAGAAACGAATAAATACAAAAAAAGGGGTTTTGTTTAAAGCTAAGTAAAAATGGTAATGGGATATATTCCTGCTACTGGGTATGCACATCCAGGAAAAGCAGTGTAACCCTTGTGCGAGAAGTGACACCCAACTCGCCTGGAGCCTTGGGTCACGCCTAAAAGAGAGGGAGCTTGAGTGTAGTCACTCCTAAATATCCTGCCTAAGGGTTTACGAAAGTCTGCTCACCAAAGGCTGTTCACCAGAGATGCGAGGCGTCGATTTTGAATGATCTTGTATCAATCACCGCGCAGCGAGGTTATGCGCTGGATTAAAGGCTCGTCACGTAGGTACCAGCTCTAATGAAAATTAAAAAGATAGCAAATCTTAGGTTGATATGTCCCACTTTTGTTGACGAGGACCCCGATTTAATAGTACGCATTTAGAATGTCCGATTCCGTGATTGGGAAGGTAACTTCGCTCAGCTACTAATGTCCACGTAAGACTGAAGCTTAGTCCACCGCCGTCCTAGAATTGCGTAGGACGGAACTAGTACGCATGCGGGCTTGCGATAAGTACTGCATCGGCCATGCTTGTAGTATAAAATTTTCGCGCTTCATTTGTTGCTGGGTTCGTAGTGGAAGTGACACACAATCCTCGAGTCCTAGCATTGACTCCGGTAGATGAATATCTCGCCAAAATCCGCATCAAAGCGAAGTTCTTCAACTAATCGGCAATTTGCGCTCACTACCCGACGCAAGGTAAGGATGATGTGACCAAAGTTTCTTGCTATGAGTGCCTAGAACGAAATCATGCTTGACGAACTCCAGATAGGCAAGTAAGATATTTTCAGCGCAACATTTGGGGAAATTTAGCTTACCTCCCCAAACAGGCGGAGGTTGATCGCCATCGTCGGGCCCGAAATGTGGTTGTCTTTAATACTGAATACCACTAAAAGATAATTCATCGAATTTCGTGGCTGTCCCTTTCAAGATTTTGCTCTTTTAGTAGCCGTAGAGCATCGTACGGTTTTACTGTGTGTTGTTTGAGAGGGTAGTGTCGTGCAGAGACTCTCCACATGCAGGGCATAAGTTGGGTATGCTGGTGTCTAGTCTGGATAAATAGGAGTTTGAACTGCTACAGTATCCAGACCTGAGTTGTGTCAGGGTCACGCGGGTCTCTCGAGGCAGCTCGAACTCGTTGTCTGCTATAGGTGGTGATTTTTCTCTGAGCACGTCATTGACTGGAAGGGAGTCCTTGAAGGTGTCGACTGACTCCAGGTGAATGGCGTTCAGTACTTGTCTGTATTTCGTCCTGTCCAACGATTATTGCACATGTTGCTGGACTGTGTCCTTAAGATCTAGTACTCCCTTTCTGATGTACCGAGATGGAGGTTCAGTTTCTATTAGGTGCCTACTGGGGTGCTCCTTGCGGTAGCAGGCTTCGCTGTGATGCTCCGGTGATATCAGGAGGTTTCCTCTCGCGGTCCTGAGGGCGGTGTTCTGGCAAGACTGTAGCTTCCTCATCTGCATCTCGTTCGTCCTCGGCGCCCAGATCGGTGCAGCATAGTTTACGACTGGCCGGCCAATTGCTTTATAAGTTGCCAGCAAAGTTTCTTTGTCTTTACCCAAGGTGCTGCCGGCTAGCGCTTTGAGTATTTTGTTGCAGCAATTACGGTCGTATGCGGAGTGAAGGAGTGCAGGCTGTCTAGTGTTACTCCCAATATCTTTGGGTTATTCACCGTCTAGCAATTCGCACAAGAAACGCCTTGCTTCATTGCTTTTCAAAGCTTCTATGTGGTTTGCTGCAGTGGGTTGCTGCGATTAATGAGCGTCACGCGGAAGTTTTTCTTGTCTATCTCAGGGGCCATAGCCCCTTTTTTATATCCTTTATTCTTTTAATTTAATTTAATTTTATTGTATTTTTTAAATTTAATTTAATTTTTTTATTTTATTATTATTTTTTATTTTATTACATATTTTCGCTTTGGTTTTATTTTAATTTTTTTATTTGCTTTATTTTATTTTCCTTTATTCTGTTAATTTTATTAAATTTCCAATTTCATTATTATTTTTTCACAGTAAATTTTTTTTTATTTTTATTTTAGCCTAATTCTTATTCAATTGTTCATTTTAGTTCCTTTGTTTTTCAATTTTATTAAATTCTAATTAAATTCATTTATTTTTTTATTATATTTTTATTTTATTTTTTGTTATAATTTCGTTAGAAAATTTTTAAATTATTTTATTGATTACTTATTATTTTACTTTATGTAATTTAAATTAAATTTAATTTAATTTATTTTACCTTATTTTATTATATTTTTTTTTTACTTTGATTCCTTTAGTTTATCTAAGTTTTTTTATTTTATTTTTTATTGTTTTATTTTAGTTTAATTATTTATTTGATTTATTTCAAATTAAATTCTTTTTATTTTTTTATAGTTTTTCATTTCATAAAAACCATATATATTTCTCCTACTCAACCTCTCAATTTCCTTTTCACCACAAATAATTGAAACCACGCCCTTTTATGTTGCTTAATCATAAATATATATATTTGCTTTATTTTCTCTATTATTATTTATTTAGCAGCAAAATGTTAATTTGTCTTAAATTGCTTAAAAATATTGTTCTTGACTGCATGCTAAACAAATAAAGTAAACTGTATATATTTTTTTTTTATTTCGAAACAGTTGCAAAAAATTGTATAATTTTAAATTTAGCTTATTTGATATTCTTTTATTTTAGTTTTTGTTTAATTTTTTTGATAATTATTTATTTTTATATAAAACTCGAACAGAGCGTAGTAAAAGCTAATTTTTGTTCAAATAACATGGTTTTATAACAAATTTCATTTAATTTTTTACTTTTTTAGCAAAAATATTTTCTGTTTTGGGGCTTTTTTTTGTTAATTTTTTTTAAACAAATTTAACGCTTTCCGATTTGAAAATTTTTGGTATAAAAAAAAGTTGGCTGAAATTAGTTATGTTCAGCAATAAATTTAATTTTAGGTTAATTTCTTTGCTTTTTTTTATTTATTTCTTAATTTCATACAGATTATAAGCATAAATAGAATAGAATAGCTTTTACACATGAATACATATTGTTTTTATAAAGTTCAGTTAGGAGCGGAGCATAATGTAACTACTACTATTCTACAAATAGTACCTTTTTTGCTACTATTTATGTAATAATACATATATAAATGGCGGCCAAGGGATTACCCATACAGCGTGGCATAGAGTACTCAATTTAAACACATATGTACATATATATGTTTGTGGCTGTGTGTGATCTGGGGCTTACAAAGTTATTCTACTGCTATTAAATACCTACATAATTACTTAGGGCGTTTGAATATTTTAGGTTAGAAGTTAGTAATTTGCAATATAATCCAGGTTGACATAAATACAACTCTGCACGTAGGAGTAAATTGATTAATATGTATGTTATATGGACTTTCTTTTGCGTAATGGTGTGAGTATATGCATGTATGTATTTTTGATTTTAGTTAAACATTTTTATTTGTGGTATACAACAGTGGGAGAAAGCGTGGAAAGCGAATAACTGTGTAAAAAAAAAAAATTAAAAAATATTTTTTTTGCTTTAAAGAATTTAATGCAGAATAATAATTCATAAATTAAATTTTTTTTTTATTTATTAATATTTCGAAAATTATAATTTTTTTTTATTAATATTTGAATTAATTTACTTAAAATAAAATATATATAATATATATTTTTTGAAATATATTAATAAAATATTATTTTAAATTTAATAATTCAAGATATTTAACACAATAAAAAAAATTCAAATTTTGTTTTAAGCAACAAAAGCTATTGTTTTTTTAATTCAATAAAAATATTTTTTTTATTTCATTTTCTGTACTTATATAACGCTTAAACAAAGACCTTTTCAATTATATTTTTTATATTAAAAATATTATTTGCTTGCTTATGCTGCTTTTGCCATTTTTATTATTATTATTTAATTGCTTATCGCTGCTGAGTATGTATATATATAATATTATTAAATTTAACCGACATACATATACATGGTACACTGTATTATTATGTATGTATGTACATAAATTGTTTTTGTTAATATATTTGATTATTATACCCATATTTATTATGTATACCCATATTTTTTATTAAAGTTTTCTATAGATCTTTATTAAAGCAAATTATTATTTTCATATTTAAAATACACATGTTTTGTTCATAACTCTTCTCATCGTTAAAAAATCATTTAACAACTCAATTCATATAGGTTTGTAGGTTAGTTAAGCTTTTTTTTTGCAAATTTTTTGCTTTAATGTTTTTGCAAATATTTATCAAGTTTGAATTTCCAAAAAATTTGTAAAGGCGAAACAATTTACTTTATAAGCCGAATTGTCTCATACCAATTATAGTTAAATATTTTCATAAATACGCTGAGAATTTCAGGCAAATGAAAATGAGAGAAAAATGATTTCAAAAAAATTAAAATTAAACTAAATGAAAAATTATAAAAAATTTAATTGAAACAAAATAAGTAGAATAAAAAACAATAATAAATAAAAAAAATTAAAATAAAGTAAAATGAAATATGAGTAAAAAGTAAAATAAAAATCAATAACAGTGTTTAAAATAAAAAAGGAATAAAATAAATAAAAATAAAGACCCACATACAAATATATAAAGCTCTAATGTTGATTACGCACACACTGCTTAATGAAAATAACTCTGTAAATTTATGTATATGTATATCATATAACCTTTTTTACAATATAAGCAGTATGTATGTGTAATATGTATGTAGCGACACGACTTAGTTAACATGGACGTTCGATTTTTTGCCTGTTTCTATTTTTATTGTTAATTACTTTCGATTTTCCTTTTATGTTTATATATATTTTTCATATTAATATGAGTATGAGGGTGATTTTATATATGAATTCCACTGTGTATATGTATGGAAGTGTGCAAATGAACGTGCTTTCTGCGTGTGGGTGACCTTTGTTCACCTGCTCTTATTGTTATCCTGCACATGCCTTATCACCTTTATCAATATTTCACTTTTTATGTATGTATATATATTCTCTGTATTAATAGCACACTCACTTCTTTTCGTTTTTTGTTTATTTGTATATGAGGGTTTTTATGTGTTTTCCTTTTTATTGTAATTATTTTTAATTAGCAATTATTTTTATGTATTAATTTTTTTCTTTCTAAAAATATGTATTTTTAATGGTTTTCTTTTATTTATTTTTTGTTATTTAAATTTAATTTTGCATTTGCCTTGGCTAAAGCGCGGAACTTTTGTTTGATTATTAATTATTGTTTAGTTTTTCTATTTTAATCGTCACCTTCTTAATTTTTATATTATTTTTTGGTTTTTGCATTAATAATCGTTCTCTTAACTTGTATTTATCGTAAATGTAGGTATTTATGTATATATTTTGGTGTGTATATTTGTATTTCGCATTTGCTTTATCATTTATTTATGGCCTCTTGGTATAGGTTAGCAGTATATTGTATTTTATGTATATGTAAATGGTTTATATTTTAAATTAGCATGTTTTAGTATATAGTTTCATTCTCTGCTATTTCTGCTTCCTCTTCAGCTTCTTCTCCTTCTTCCACTTGGCCTTCAGCCTAGACGCTGCTGCTTACCTCAATTGCTGTTTCTGAGATTTACTGGGCGCGAGAGTTCGCTTAGAGTTTTTTATACCAATATAGATAGTGTTCACCATCCTCGACCATCAGCTCATCGACGCCTGAAAGTGTGAGCATTTTAAAAGTTGTATTATTTTTATTAAAAATTAGAAATCAATTCGGTTTAAGTCAATGAAAAGAATAATAAAGGCATTATTACAGAAACGTAAAATATTTATCGATTAGTCTCAGTATCGATTATGCTTACTAGTCATATATTGTGAATGGTACACAAGTGAAGAGCAAAATTACAAACAAATTGAATAAAACGACTTTGATTTAATCTTCCGGTTCAATTTTCATTAAATTTATGCGTGTGAGATGGAAAATATAGTTTTTCATATACGAAATAAATTAGCATCGATATATTCTCTTGCAATTTACTCGTTTTATGTGCTAAAGTGATTACTTTTAAGGAATTAATTGTGTGTTTAAAATTTCAAACCTGAACCTATACTTTTTGTGCAAACGTTAGCTCTTGTGCTAAAAGTATACTTAAGCTTCTTTCATATACAAATTGGTGGATTTATAATTAATTTTTCTCTGCCAACACTTACCAACTGGAGCAATTAGTTGATTACCCGGTGCATTGATGGGATCGGGTAGTTCGGGTAAACGATACAGCAGCCAGTAATTATACCTAATATAATATATAAATGAATAATATGTCAAGCCAAAAAAGTGTCTACTATATTTACAATGGTGCAACTTACCCTCTCGGTTCCTCTTTCTTGCCGGCCAGTGTGTGTACATAGTGTCCGTTGGGCCATTCTCGTGCCTCAAAAGCAAATCTATAGTTTATACGTTATTAAACAAAAAAAGTTATAATTCAATTCATATGCTCAACATGTTGTCTTGTCTTTTTACCTCGGATCCAGTTCGGCAGCCTGCGTCATGGCTTTAAAGAAGCTTGTGTTCTTTGGTGAGACTAGCGATAGCGAGAATGCTTCCGTCACATTCGAGCCCACCCATAGCGTGTAGGTGTAAGAGACATTTTTCAAGTCCGATTCCTCAGCTGATGATGTCAGTCCATAGGGTACAGCTAATTTTGGTTCGCCATTTTCTAATTGAGTTTTGTGGTTTTTGCGAATTTTCGTTTGTATTTTTTTCAATTGTGTAGTTATGTTTATTCATGTTGTTGTTTGGTTTGATTTAAGTTTTTGGGTGTATTTTTTTTTTGGTTTTTTTTTTGCATTTTCATGTTTTGTGTGGAAGTGTTTTTAATATTAAACGTAAAAGCATTAAGAAAATTTGCCAACTTACCTGATGTGGGATCGCTATTCTCGCGTATCACATGATCGCATTGTAGTGCACGCACCGCTCCCAGACCCTTCCAACCCAACGCCAGTATGATGTCCGCTGTCAAACCTACACCGATGCCGGGATCCTGTCCGTCGTGCAATGGCTCTTCAGTCCAACCGCCATCCGCGCGCTGTCGACCCAATATCCACCTCGATGCGGCAGTACGGTTCCACGAGCCGGCCGGATCGTGTTCAAGATCTTGCAACGCCTGCATAGCCAAGGCAGTGCTGCGTAGCGAACCGAAACTACCGCGTGGATCCTGCAAACTGGCCAATCCTCTAGCAGGCCGTCGTACAAAGTGCTGTAGATGGCGATGCCGATGATCGGTCACGATGCAGCGCAGCGCCAGTATAACCATCGCAATCGTGTCCACACCCTGATCCGTAACGCCGCTCGCAATGTCCAGCAATCGGCGTATTTGGCGCTTGCGCACATGCGCAGCAGCACTACACGCCGACAACGTGGCCAAGGCGAATTCATTATCTTGCGCCGGTTCGTGATGCTGCAGCGTGGCAACTAAATCGTGTCCATGAAAATGTTTCGGATCCTTGCACAACGAACCGAGCGCGAGCACGTAGCGTGCGAGTTTCTCCAAATTCAGCGGTTTCGGTAATGTATGATGACGATCAAGCATGGCTAGTATTTCGATTTCCATCTCCTTCACAGACAATGTATCCTCAAGTTCTTGTATGATCTGCAGATGACCATCAGCATCAGTTGGGTCACGTGCACCCGACAGCTCTTTGGCCAATATCACCACATGCGTATCATTTGCCCAACCATAATCGGCAGCACGTTTCTCCTTCAACCAATCTAACGCCTTCAGTATGGCCTCCTGTTCACGTTTATCAGGTCCGGGTGAGCCGATAATATCATGCTCGGGCGCCGTTGTAGTCGGTTGATTGGTTGTACTAGTAGACGAGCTTGTCGGCGCAGTTGTGCTTACAGCTTCTATTGCGGTTTCAGCGCCAGCCACCGGCTCGATGGTGGAGACCCCAGGCGCTTGTAGTGGCACAGAAGTTGTGGACACAATACGCTCACGCGTGGCCGCGGAAGCAATGGTATTGGCATTAGTTTCAGTTTGAGGAATACTGCTTGAAAGTTGCGCACCTGCTGCTACCGAGGCAGGTGCGGGCGTAGCGATTGATGCAGCTGCTAGCGAGGCGAATACGGTGAGCTTTAGAGTGCCAATAAGCAAGGCGGCAAAGATAATGGAGTGACAGCGCGTTTGTAGTGTGGGCGTGGGACTAGCCATATTGCTGTTTGCTGGTATGAAAAGGGAGAGAGAAAAATTTAGTTTTTGAAAAAGTAAGATGAGCTTTAGAGAATATTGACAGTTTACGAAAAGCACTCTTCGTGTGTTCGACTCCTATTCCCTTAGACTATATAAAAATAAATATATTCTCAAAAAAAAAAACAAAAAAAATCAGATTTCAACCGGAAGCTTCGCAAACCCAGCTACCTGCCACGAAAGCCACTTCCATTTGTACGTAAATGACAAAAGACGTAGTCCCATTCTCATTCCTCAACGCATATACCAACACCACCAGTCAAGGCCATAACTAATAACACCCACGTGCCAGGTAGAGTGACCTTCTGCGATTCTTCGAACTCGCCATATATAATCACAAAAATGCGGTTGAGTGATTTCCCAACTTGCACACAACTTTCTAATTCGCTTCCCACAAAATAAATAATAATAATAATAATAAACCTTTATGTATCATTAACCCGAAGCAAAAGGACGATCAAGTTTATCGGCTGGTACGCTTGTGGCCACATTAGGCGCTAAGTGATTTCCGGCGCTCATGTCCCGAAATAAATGCACACATATTTACGAGAGTCTACCACCAAGCGGACAATTACTAATATTTCAATACCCCCATCTCATCTGCGGGCTACACATTTTTGGCCCGTCTAGTGGTTGAGTTGTGTCCGATTTGGTGAGAAAATTCTAGGCGACACACAAACGAACATAACACAACAAATCGTCCGCGTCAAGACACCTTCACGACTATCATACACTATTAATGGTTTCATTTCCGTCCCCACGCCATGCTCATACTCGTATACGCTCATTGACTTTCAAATCGCGCTCGGACGGACGCATTGATGATGGCACTTCCATCATTGTTGATAATGAACGATGGGACATCGGATTCCGTTTTTGCCGTTTGCCGTTGCGTCCTCCATTGTAAATGCCATTGCGCATTCGAGCGTCAAATGAATAATGTGTAAGTGAATGGGCATGCGGTTGGATGGAGTGTGTGGGTGGCAGAGTTGATTGCTAAAAATACTACATACTACACGCTATACGAGCGGTTTACTTAACCCACAAGTGATTACACAAATCGCTTTTGCTTTGAGTAAATTATAGTGTGTTTTAGAAAAATGTGTAGGAATGGGACTTGAGTGCTAAGGGACGTGCCGGCGAGGAAATTTAATATTTACAACTGTGGGATCCATAAAACTAACAGTTTTTCTATTTTCGGCCCGAGGATTTTTTAAGTGGGTGAACCTTAATCTCTAAGACTTTCGAGAGCTAGAGTTAAAACGGCTTAAGCGTTGCTAGGTGGGTAGAGAAGTTTATCTGTCACGAAATTAGACATTGAGGAGGCGCTTAGAGCATAGCGAGAAATCTTGTTATTATTTTCTTCACTACTCTCGCTAAGAGGTCTTTTTTTTCGAATATAAGGGGAGGAACTTTATTTATTTCGATTTTCAGTGATACAACTTTTCTTATTATCCTGCTCCGAGCCTATTTTCTTCCCGGCTTTAATGGGTTGATCTCACATCCATTCGATTTTCAAGTGGACTTATTTTCCAAAATGAGACGATGAAAAGATTATTAGAAAACAGCGGATTAAGCAATTATGAGACTAACAAGACCATCTAATTTATTTACTGCTCGCGCTCTGAGGTCGGTCTTCTCTAAGAAATTTCTTTACTGCTCCTGCTCCGACTTCTTTTTTATCTCCTTTGATTTTTGAAATCCGCCTTCTATGAAGCATTGCGAAGCAACCCAATCTTAACGCGTAACGCCTTATGTGTGATGTACAAGGCCGCGATAAGTGAATACTGTAAGATATTTCGCGGCTAAAGCTGCCGTTAGAATAAAGCTGTTTAAATTCGTGTCGGCTTTAACTCGGAATACACCTATGCACGTGAAAAGCTCGTTTTTAAACATAGTTACATAGGTTACTTCAAATCCGACATGTCGCTTCTTCTCCAATACGCGGGAAGCGAAAGAGACAATCCCATTGTGGAGAAAAGACCCGGCTGGTCGGGTCTCGGACTGTACTATTTGCCTGGAGAAGTTGATAGAGTCACTCAAAAACTATCCTGCGAGACTAATACGAAACATTTTCGAAACGCAGCTCAGAAGAGTTGATCGATATGATGATATGAAGAGAAATAATAGTGATCTAGTGTTAAGGAAATTTTTAATTTTTTTTGGATGCGTCTTATGCGTCTATTATACATCTGTGAGAAGGAAGAGTTCAGAGTCCTTCCTTGATAGAGTATGTATGCCCGCACACTATGCAAGATAACCGTCAAGCTCAGTCCTTTTGTTGCGCTCCGTTGTAGTTTTAAGTATAAACTCAGAAGTGGAATAAGTTAGGCGATGAGTGCAGCTTCTAGTTGAATCTTTAGCACAAGCAAATATATATATATTTTTTAAAGAAAGCACTCCATACTAAATTCTTTATAGAATAATGCATTCAGTGAAGCTCACCTTCTAAAAGACTTTCACAAAAAACTGTCTTCAAAATTATTTTTACCACTCAAAACCGTATTCCGTGCTTCTCACGCTTTGATGACGAAAAAAGAAAATCTATAAAGAAAACATTTACTAATGGCCGGCTATAACAACGACAGGCCGCTAATGCGTGTTTGCGGAATATAATAATCGCTCGTCCCTCCCTTGTTCACCTCTCTACGCGTAACGACCACTGAACGTCACAGCAATCGAACGTCTTTAGACCGTGCGACTTTTAACGTTAATTTGAGGGAAAAAATTCGAAATATTCCTACTTTGCTTATTTTACACTTTTCACGCGCGTTCGCATACGCTCGATGACGCTGTTATGGATACAACCGCTGCCGTTGGCGGTGCGCACAAAACAAAACGCAACTCAATGAAGCGATGAAGCAACTCTGCTGGATGAGCGAGTGAGTGACTGAGCGATGAGCGCTAAACACTGTAGCGGGCGGCGTGCTACTAACACCGCGATAGCCCAAGCAGCTACGATGCGGCAACTTAAGCACAAACATACCCTTGCACCGGTTGAGTTTGTAGAAAAAGACAATTGACATTTGCTGCGACGCGTGTCGCCTCAATTTACTGCCCACTTGGGTTGACTGCCTCACGGTGCGAGTGTTTGTGTGTAATGATTAGCGGCGGAGAGTGGGGTTGTTACTAGGTAAGCATGGCATAGTAGAACACAGCGCCGCGTAGCTGTTCTTCGCTGTCAACTGCCATGACTGCCATGAAACGTTTGTTCGACGAGGCATTACAAACACTTTAATCCCTGAAGGTTGCAATGACAGCACAGCACAGCGCAGTTAAAGAAGTAGGTTTCGGACATTTCGTACGCTGAGTGGTGAGTTTGTGAGGTGGTGGAGCTTATACTCGTAGGTAAGTCTATGGATGTGTGCAGAGGTGCAGTGACGTTGTTTGATTACGATACGTGGCGCGCTTTACACTGTTGAACGCATACATATAAATACTATTTGGTTCCATAAAGTTAATTAGGCGTCCGTTAGTCGCACGAACGTACCTATCAGTGGCTTACATATAGACGGACAAAGCGAGAATGATGACTACAGTATTTCGGTGTGAGAAAATTCTGTTGCAATGTATCCAGTACTTCTAAACTGAAGGAAACGAGAGACGAAGACCTGTCTCAAGGATATTTGGCCAACAATATACCGCTTTTCTTTTGGAGGAACGTAAATTCGTTACTCTCCCCGCGGAAGAACCTGCCGAAATCAAGAAGGACTGCGAAGGCGCACTAGCTCATGGTGGTCATTGAAATTCGTATCAAATGAACCTCAGTCGAAAAGGTTATCGAAATCTTAAAGTGGATACTTTATGCCAGCTGTCCTCTTAGTACCGTATGTCAGGCAATGGCTTGACCAGAAGTGGTGTTAGCGATCACACTGCGCTTTTGTTCATCTTCTTGAAATTGTATCAGGAAAAAGCTTTGATAGAACAGTAAAGTCAGCTAAAGAGTTCTACTAATTCCAACCCGACCTGTAGAGACTTTCCGAGATTGACATTTATTGATTTAAGCCAAGAAAGCCAAGCCGATAGGAGGAAAGGTAATCTCTTAGAGTTAAGCTCGAGTGAACTGATTTCAAAATTTCACTTCGGGGATTGCAATTTCGGTCTCACATAATTTTCGACCTCACCTCTTATTTAGAAGAACTCACTTGAACCTCAATAAGAGCATTTCGGCTCCGGTTTGAGATCTCGGCATTGATTGGAAGGGTTTAGCTGAGCTACAGTAAGGAACAATGTAGGAGTGATTAAAAGCTCTTCAATAGCTACAAACGAAATTTGGTTATTTTGTAAAAGAGGTAAGTTTCGGTTTCTCTTAAAGCCATAGTACCTTCTTCTTGTTATTGCCGCGTCACGCCTTTTGTTGAATCTTTTAGTTAGTGAAGCTAGATCCTGCTCTGTTCGATCTTTCTTGCGAAGTCAACGTAAAATCTGGAAAGCTTATTTAATGTTCACGCCCGTAGTCCTTGATCTGTTCAAACTTAGAAGTTGCTTCTAATTTTAGCGTTCAAAGAAGTTATCTCCTCTTTATAATTCCTTGAATTTACTTTTACCTCGAGTCCACAACATTACAGCCCCACTGTAACATTCTTTCGAATTTAATACAATACCTCGCCCCCACCACGCCACCCTACGTACCCAGCAGATTAGTGTCCATCATGAGAACATCACACTCTCCACATTGGGGCCAGCAGTGGGTTGGTGCACATAGACTTCAATTCTGTTTGCCTGCCCGACGTCCGACTCCGTTCGTTTTTAACGAGGTGTGAGATACATTTATGCTTAAGTTGCTTTGGATTGAAGAATAGGACGTACGATAGGGGCTGCTGCTGGTTACTGGTCATTGCTCAGTGTCGTTAAGTCGCACTAATGAAGTGGAAGTACCAGATTGCAATTTCAATTCACATTTCTGAGCACTTGTGAGGAATTTATATGTGCGAAAGACAATGACAAATATATGTATATATATTTGTGGGTGTATTGGAACGTAAAGCTGTATGCGTATGAGTGGAAATTAGTTAGTGCGCCGTTGTATTTGATTGCGTTCAAAATGTTGTGGCGAAAAAACATGCAATCCGCCATGTGCTCCGATACAGGGTTGACGCAAAGTAGGAATTGTACTCGTACTTCGGCAAGACACACACACACACACACACGGGGGTTCGGCGTAGTGTGTGCATTGTCCAGTGCGGCGCTTAAGCGTAGACAATGTACTTTACTTTGGATGGATGGATGGACATGTAATAATAATGTATTTTTTGTTGGCTTTCTTTTTTCCATTCTCTTCATTATTATTTCTTTTGTTGTTGTTGCTGCGCGGCAATTGTTCTTATTCTTATTGTAATTTTCATTCAGTCACGTTAAGTAAAGCAACGAACTCATCTCTCATCTTTAATGTCTATCGTAAGCTCTTGTTATTTTTATCATGATTACTGTCCGCCCGTGCGTCCTTCCGTCCGTCCGTCCGTCTGACTAATCACCACAAAGCTATGATTAACGCTCGTAGATAAATAAAAATGAGAAATAATACAAAAAAAAAAGGTTCTGATTAGAGCAATACACATAAGATTCATATTATTTATTCTCTTTTGCAGGTAGCTGGGAATTTTGTTTGGTTGCAAAGTCTTCTGGAATACAGTAAAATCGGTTGAGGAGGTCAGGGTGTCCAAAATACCTCATTTTCTGTCTAAGCTCAGCAAGGTTTTCCACATTGTCTCAGTTGAAAACGTTGAAACGTTGGCAAAAACCCACTCCATTGGTTGTTCGAATGAATGAAAATGAGGACTTCCAGCTTCTTAACCTCAAACCAGAAGACAAGATTAACATTTCCTTTCAGTCAATGTGTGTGTACCTAACGGAGAGGTTATCTTAAAGGTGAGAAAGTAGGCCTTCCTTCTCCTCAGCCATCAAACGGAAGTTGGTGGATCCTAAGGGGGTTGGACTCAAATGCTTATAAAATTCCTTATGCAGCTCAGCACATTTCTTCTCTCAGCGAGGCATCTCAATTGCCTGAAATTAGCGGGAGGTCCAGAAAAAGAGGAGTTCCGAACAGTTCGGACCAACGGTTGAACGGTGTTAGATAAATCGGCTGAAGACGGCAAGAGCAAGCAAAGATCGGTTTTTGAGTTTTTCTTTACAAGCTGGAAGGACATTCGATTTGTAAAGTAGTGGGAGTCAACACCTTACTAAGCCTCCTCTCTACTATTTTTCTGGTCTTGGATATTTAACTAAAAAATAATAATAATTAATGGAAGCCGTATAATGTGTAGCGCTACACCCCAAACCGTGCTAATGCTAAGCTCAGTTAGCGGCGCAGTGATACGTCTAATATCTTCACCACTGAAGAGACCAGATATATCAAATAATATGACACCTCGAGGGTTAGTGGTGGCAAGTTTACCGGCCATAAGGTATGCCTATCGTAAGAAGCGACTGATATCTAATAATTCGAGCGACAGTTGGGTCTATATACCGCAACTGACAGAATTTTAATTCAGTCTAAGACTTCCAAACCCTGTGTTTTCAGGCTTCTCTGATGTCAGCGATGGGACTAACCTACCTCTTCTTCAAACTTTGAAAGATTCTTAAATAACCAAAAAATTTACAGACCGTTAGTTTTATACATATTTATACATGGTTATAGAGTTGATCTTACGAACGATATCTGGAAAAATTGTAGATTTTTTTTATTAAGTCCAGTGTTCTTCGCAGCATATATAATTAATGTATATTTATTTCTGTTTTTCTTATGTAAATAAAACCATCTCACGAAAAAACGTCAGAGTCGCGCTAAACTTAAGCATTTTTGCAAGTCAATCCGATGTCCACCTAAACAGAATATTCCGAATAAATATTTCAACCCAACAACTTTCAACCAAAATCAATTAATGATTATAACAAAATGCACAACGGCGATTTCTTTTCTCTTAATATCGCACTTTGCTTCGTGTATTTTTAGTTTCCTTACAATTACCGTAAAAATAACGTATGACGCCAAATTATTTCATGTGTGGCAGCACCTTAAGCGCTTTCACTCTTCACACCAATTTTCTCATTTGTTTTGTTCGCCTATACTGACAATTTACTAAGTGACGATTGTGAATGGTATCTTTTACATAACGTAAGTAAGAAGAAGTGTGTTTATTTGTTTATTTAATTGCAGCGCATATATTTCTCTACAATTTTAATGCTATAAAACCAGTTTGTACATGAGTTTTCGCAAAACCGCCTGGCCCATGAATATTTATAAGGTGGAAAAGCAAAGTAGTGCACAAAATAAACGGTGAATGCATGCCAATCGGTGAAGCGAACGCGCTTAGAGTAGTTGCTGGTGCTGGTGAAGAATACAGTTGATTTTGTAAAATCAATTCTTTGATTTTATTACGATATCTTTGCTGCTAATAACTAGAAAAAAGTTGTTTTTTCGCTGTAAAAGTGTGATAACCTTACGCCGGATATAAACTTATAATTTTTCAACAACAAATATACCGACACTGCCGTGCCTATCTGGGCCTATGTGGAGTGACTGAGTTTCATGAATTGAGCACTTCGTGGGGAACAATTGCCTACATTAGCTGGTATGTATATATGTATGTTATTGCGGAGCAAAGTTCAATGATTCAATATAAATAAAATTTAATGATTAAAAATATATGAATGTATGTACAGTAAATATGATTTTAATTTGCTTCGTACTTAGATTCATGTGTGACTGGTTGTCTATGTATATACACGAAAAAAAAAGCAATAATCTACAATTTCTGAGATTATATTAAGCATTGAACATTTAATGGTAAGCCAATACTTTACTGTGTATGTGTGTGATACATACAAAATAAAATTTAACACTTAATAATTGTTGTTTTTTCCAGTGCAGCTACTAGAAAAGAGATATTTTCATATTTTCTGTGGAACAACAGCCGCGCTTAGCTATTGTATGCAGTCAGTTTAGTTGCTACAACCGAAGTTAACGGTTTAAAAATTTGCTATTTGGAAAAAACGTGATCAATTCATAAGTTAATTGATACATTGTGCAATATATATATATAAATCTAAATAAAAATCAACGTAATAAAATGCCAGCTAATACAGTAAATCCAGACTTGCAACGTGAACGTGAAAAGGCGACCTTCAAAACACAAGAATTTACTTATTGGTGGGTTGGTGGCAAGAATAAATATGAAGCGAAAAAAAAATTGGGTAAGTGGCGTTTAAAATATACGCGGAAAAAATGTAAATTGAGAAAATAATGTATTTAGTTCAACTTGCAAGCACGTCAATATGTTTGCGTGTGCAAATATTCAAACATCTAATGCATATCCATATTTATTTGCTATATCATCATCATTCACGCTGTTTGTGCTTGTCGATGGAGTAAATGTCGGAAGTGTTTACTCTGAACGAGCGCTCAGCTCCTAAGTAGCTCGTCAGACGAGTTTGCAAAGTGTATGCATATTTGCAATACGCTAATTACTTAGTGGCGTATACGTTACTGCTCTTATTTTCATACACTACTGTATATAAATAAACAAGTGTTTTGTTTTTAGAATTTTAGAATTAAAAAAAAAAACTTTTTTGCAAAATTACGCCACTCGCATTAATCACCAAAAATCTGTAGACAAAATTAAATATTTATAAATGCACATGAAAGTGCTGAGCGCTGGACGCTTGTACACGTATGTATTTATAACAGAGCTTTAATTTTTTGAACTTCGTACCCAGCGGACAAGTCATTAAAATATTAACGGTAGCCAACAAGCTGACTAAGCCATTTATTTTGCAAGCACTAATGAAAGAAAAAGTTAAAAATAAAATAGAATCAAAAAGTCACTAATAAGAAATGTAACGAAATAAAAATATAAATAAAATAAAAAATAATAATTAACCTATAAAATAAAATAAAAGTAAATTAAAATAAAATAAAATGAATTAACCTAGAAAATAAAATAAAAGTAAATTAAAATAAAATAAAGTGAATTAAATTCAAATACATTAAATAAAATAAATACAAATAAAATCAATAAAAGTAAAATAAATAAAAATGAAATAAATAAAAATAAAATAAATAAATATGAAATAAATAAAATAAAATATATGTAATTAAATTAATATAATATGAAATAAATTATTTTAAATTAAATTCAAAAACTATATAAAATAAAAATGAAATAAAATAGAATAAAATACGTGCATGAAAATTAAATAAAAAATATAAAAAAAATTAAGTACAAACAAAATAAAATAAAAAAATTGAATTGAAATAAATTAAATTAGAAAATAAAAGTTAAATGTAATTTAACTAAATAAAATAAAATAAAAATTGACTGAAAGAAAAAATCTAAAGCCAACTAAATTCTAATAAATAAAAAATAAACAAAAAAATAAAAATAAAATCAAATTAATACAAAAATATTATTAGAAAAACCTAAATAAAATACAAAGCATTTGCGAAATAAATAAAATTTAAAAGAAATTAAATGATAATGAGATAAAATAAGTTTAAATTGACATAAATTCAATAAAGTAAAATAAATTTAAAATAACAAAAATTCAATAAAATAAAACTAATTTAAATTAACATAAATTCAATAAAATAAAACTAATTTAAATTAACATAAAATCAATAAAAATAAATTAAAAAAAATAACATGAAACAAATTAATTATAAAAAAATAAAATAAATAAAAGTAAAAGATAAAATGCAATGAATATAGTAAAATATATTAAAATAAAAAAATAAAATGAAATGAATAAACTAGAATAAATTATAATCTTCTTAAGTTAAAAAAAGAAAATTAACAAAAGAAAATCAAAATTAATAAAACAAATAAAGATAAAACAAATAAAGATAAATAAAACAAAGATAACTAAAACAAATAAAAATAAAAAATAAATGTAATAACTAAAAATATTAATTTAACTATAAAATAAATTAATTTAAATTAGAAAATAATAGTAAATTATTTTACTTAAATAAAACAAGAGAACAAAATACATAAAAATGAAATAAAAATGTATAGAAATAATGATATTAAATAAAATTGAAATTAAATTTAATTAAATTGACATAAAGTAAATTAAAATAAAAGTGAACTAATGAAATCTATTTCTGTTTATGTATGTACGAGTATACCTATTTGCAAAATGTGAATGAACTTTGTTTCTTTGCCAAGCCTAAACAATTAAAATAATAATAATATTCAATAATTTTTATCAAAATCAATTTGTATTTATTTACATTGGGTGGATGTGATAAAAAGTTTTTATTCCAAAAGTGTGTTAAAAATGTAAATTTATACGCATGCCGTGTACTAGTTAACCTAGTTTAGAGTTCAGCAAGTGCATTCGGACACGTACACTGCCTATTTCGCACAAATGTATATATTAAAAATGCTTATAAAAATTGCTAAGCCATTAGATTTCATACTGGTGATTAGATTATCATATTGATTATAAGCCATAAAGCCATTCGGGGTATGCTTAGTTTGAAATATGAACTATTTCAAAGAAATTTCGGAAGAAATTTAGCATTAAAGAGTTTTTTTAGCAATGAATGATTGTGTGAAACATCAAACGCTTATAACCGCGAATTACTGTTGAAAAGGTCAACTTGACTCATGGTGATTCACTGCGACAACGCACGTATCTAGTTGAATACAACTTTTATATAATTTTTTTTTATTTTTACCTCATTGCATTACAGAGAAAATGTTCTTGGATGACCCTGAATTGCAGGATGACCTACCCATCTCTTACATGTCGCCCAAAGAACTATATGAGCATAGTGTACGCAAGGCTGTAATTATTGCAAATAAGCTACGCGAGCTACGTGCCGAGGGTGAAGATGATGTCGATACGTATACGTGAGTTTTGTACATAAAAAAAAATTCCAAAAATTATAAAAAAAAAATTATATTAAAAATTTTGAAATTTTCTACTCCGCACAGTGCACTATTTGGTGGCGCACTCGGCTCGGCGCTCATCAAAGAGGGCAATCCAATGATGTTACACTTTGTCATGTTCGTACCAACAATAATGGGTCAAGGTACAACGGAGCAGCAAATCGAGTGGCTGAGTAAAGCTTGGGATTGTAATATACTCGGCACATATGCGCAAACTGAGCTGGGTCATGGCACTTTTTTGCGTGGTTTAGAGACACGCGCCGACTACGATGCGAGCACACAAGAGTTTGTCATAAACACGCCGACAATTAGCGCTTACAAATGGTGGCCGGGTGGCAGTAAGTGCAATTAACAGTATAAATGTTAACGTGCTAATACACTTAACGCTCGCTATTTCTCTCTTTTTGTTTTTTTAGTGGGTCACACATCAAATTACGCCATTGTCGTTGCACAACTGTATACGAAAGGTGAATTTCGTGGTTTAGCACCCTTTATTGTACAACTGCGGGACCTGGAGACACACATGCCAATGCCGGGTATTGATGTGGGTGATATTGGACCAAAAATTGGCATGAAATCAGTAAACAATGGTTATCTGGGTTTGAAAAATGTGCGCGTACCCTTGAATAACATGTTGATGAAGAATCAACAGGTGCTCCCCGATGGCACATATGTCGCGCCGAAGAATAGCGTACTCACCTATGGTACTATGATGTTTGTGCGCTGTGCGCTCATACGCGACTTGTCGCAAACGCTCGCGAAGGCGTCTACAATAGCAATGCGTTATTCAGCCGTACGGCGGCAGAGTCCCATTGATCCTAAGTGCGTAGCTTGAGTTGTAAAATATTATTTCAAAGAATAAAAATGAACTATCTTTCTTTTTTATTTGCCCACCAGTGAGCCAGAGCCACAAATCATCGAACACACCACGCAGCAACTGAAGGTGTTTCCACAAATCGCCAAGGCGATCGTGTTCAAAATAACTGGCGAGTGCATTTGGAATATGTTTAACAATGTCACAGGCGAATTGGAGCAAGGCAATATGGATCGGCTGCCGGAAATGCATGCGCTCTCGTGTTGTCTCAAAGCTATCACCAGCGCAGACTCAGCGGCAGCTGTAGAGGTGTGTCGTCTCTCCTGTGGCGGTCATGGTTATATGGATTGCTCTAATTTCCCCACCATCTACGGCATGACCACTGCCGTTTGCACATATGAGGGTGAGAATACGGTGATGTTGCTGCAGACATCACGCTATTTGGTCAAAGTTTATGCGCAGGCGCTAAATGGTGAAACTTTAGTGCCTACCGTGCATTATATACAAGATTATGTTAAGAATAAGCAATTCGGCAAGTTTGATTGCTCGCTGGAGCAGATTGTGCGTGCTTTCCAATTCGTAGCAGCGAAGTAAGTTCAACAATTTTTAGTTAACTTAAGTATCTATACATATAATAATGTAAAATCTCCAACAGCAAGGTGCGCATTGCCTACGAGCGCATGGAAAAACATCGCAAACAAGGTCGTGAACCAGAAACGGCCGCGAATTTAGTGGGCATTGAGCTAACGCAAGCCGCAGATGTAAGTTGCTTGAATAACGAATCAAAACTGACAATAAATCAACTTATATAAACTCTCTTTACAGCTTCATGGCCGCGCTTTCCTTGCGCAATCAGCTTACACCGAACTGAATCAACTCATACCGAAAGTCTCACCCGAATTGGGCGCTGTGTTTAAAACTATTTTAGAACTATATTTAATAGATTCCTGTTTAATACGCATTGGCGACTTTTTGCGCGTAAGCAACACAAATTACTCTCCACTCTTATCACTGTTCATACAAATGCCTTTCATGTTTTGTGCTTTCAGTTCATCAATCTAACCGACAGTGATATCAGCAAATTGGAATTACGTCTCGCTGATTGCCTTAAACGTTTGCGTCCAAATGCTGTTGCACTTGTCGACAGTTTCGATGTACACGACCGTGTGTTGGATTCAGCGTTGGGCGCTGCTGATGGCCGCGTCTATGAGCGTATATTTGAGTCAGCCAAGAAAAATCCTATGAATCAGGAGCCAGTGAATAAAACATTCCATCAGTATTTGAAGCCTTTTATGAGGGCGAATTTGTAGATACATGTGTGCATGTTGTTTAATTTTTTTTTTATACATATATAGTATACGAGTGTGTATATGAATATCTACATAGGTACGTATATGGTTATGCATATACTAAATTTATATGTAAGCTTATGTATGTATGTATTATTATGTGTGGTGATAATTGTTTTTTTTTACATGTAATTATTTTATTCATTGAATATATGCAAATTAAATTGTTAATGCTTAGAGCAAATTGAAATTATGGAAATTACTTAAAATTATTAGAATTTCAAGGCAGGTTACATACATATATGAAGGTCTTCTCGTTTATCAAAAGGTACAGTCTTTTCTCTTCTTCTCAGAAACATGTTTAAGCTATAGAATTTATGCGTGTTGACTGAGTTTCCGATATCAATGGACTTTTATTTAAGAACTCCCCGGAGTTATGCTGTTCGATAAGCTTTCTTAATATTTTTTGAATTTTTTTTTACCTACTAATTTCCTTTCTTTGCGACCAACTGCAATATTCTTATTACATCATTTTCGTCTAACATCATTTAACTTAACCTTTTGTAAACCTAACAGTTATTTTAGTTGTTATTATTTTAATTAACTTTTTCATAGACCTATTTTTTTGACTGATTTTAATGGATTAAATGATATATTTAGTCATGAAGGTTAAAAAAAAAATAAAGAATGGAAATGTCGATTTGCCTCTCATATATATACATATGTATATGTATATGTATATACTGAGATGACAAGCATATGCATGTATGTTTTCATACCCAACAAGCCATTCCATTAAAATTAACATAATAAATATGTCGTAAAGGTCAAATACTGATTTTCCATGCAATATATATTTAATTAATTTAATTTTAGTTTATTTTTTAACTTGACTTTATTGAATTAAGTAAATTAATTTTTTTACTTGACTTTATTTAATCTTTTGCTATTTAATTTCTTTCCCTAAATATTATTTCTAAATTTAAATTTATTTAATTTAACTTTAGTTTGAACTATCTTATTTATTTAATTTAATTTTATTTTACTTTTTATATAATTTATTTCGTTTTCCTATTTTTTATTTTATTTCTTTTTATATTGCATTTTATTTCACAATTTAATTTATTTTAGTCTTAAATTGAATAAATTTATTTATTTTCAATCATTCAATTTTAATTTTTATTTTACATTTTTTTGAGTTCAATATATTTTTTCCCATTTTGTAATAATATCTTTTTCATTTTATGATACTTTACTTTTATTTTACCTTATTTTAGTTCAATTTTTTTTTAAATTTTATATTTTAGTGTATATTATTATCCTTTTTTTATTTCGTTTATAATATTTAATTTATTATTTTGTATTTTGTTATATCATTTAATTTCATAAAATTTTATTTTAATTTTTTCGTTTTATGTTAATTTATTTGCTTTTACTCGCTTTTATTTTATTTTGTGTAATTTTAATTTAGTTTATTTTAGCTTATTTTATTTTAATTCTATTGTATTTATGAAATATATCATTAAATTTCATCTACGTAATTGAATTGAATTTTGTTTTATTTTATTTTAATGTATGTGATATTATTTTATTTCCTTTATAATATATTTTTTTCATTTTGTTGTATTATTAAATTTAATTTTATTTAATTGAATTTTATTTTGCTTCATTTTATTTATTTCATTTTAATTTATTTTATTTTAATTAATTTTATTTTATTTTATTTTATTTTATTTTATTTTATTTTATTTTATTTTATTTTATTTAATTTTATTTTATCCATTTATAAAATATTGTATATCATTAAATTTTTTTATTTTATTTTATTTTATTTTATTTTATTTTATTTTATTTAATTTAATTTAATTTAATTTAATTTAATTTAATTTTATTTTATTTTATTTAATTTAATTTAATTTAATTTAATTTAATTTAATTTAATTTAATTTAATTTAATTTAATTTAATTTTATTTTATCCATTTATAAAATATTGTATATCATTAAATTTCTTCTAATGGAATTTAATTTAATTTTGTTTTGTTATTTCATTTATTATATATTTTTATTCATTTTGTTATTTTCTTAAATTAAATTTTTTTGTTTCATTTTATTTTATTTATTTCATTTTATTTTATTTTTTTATATATTTTTTATTTTATTTTATTCTATATAATCATATTATTTTCTTTTATTTATTTTTTCTTTTATTTTTTTTTATTTATTTTTATTATTTGTTAAACTTAATTTAACTTAATTAATTTTTTGTTTAGTTTTTTTATTTTTTTTTCTTAATCTTACTTTATTTTATCATATTTTATTCTTTAATTTATTTTATTTTTTGATATATTATTTTGAATTAGTTTTTATTCGACTCTAATTTGTTTTATTTTTTTTTAATTTCCATTATTTTATTTAAATTTATTTATCGTTATTTTATTTTATAATAAATTATTTTAATTTAATTTTATGTTTTCTTTCATTTCATTTTATTTTAACCAATTTATTTACAATTAGTTTCCTTTTGTTCAATTTAATTTAATCTTTATTTATTTTAATTTATTTTAATTATTTTTTATTTATTTTAATTGATATAAATTTGTTTTTTAAACAAATGAAATTTCTTTGATTATTATATTATCACTTATTTTATTTATTTTGTTTAATTTTATTTTACTTAATTTAATTTATTTTTATTTTAATTAATTTCATTTTATATTGTTTTATTTTTTTTTCTATTTATTTATTTTTTTTTATATAATTTAGTTATTTTTTTTTATATAATTTAGTTATTTATTTATTTTTTCCACGTAATTTTATGCCATTTTATTTTTTTTGCGTTCGCTGGTATATTCTTCACTGACTTTAATTATTTGATCGCCTTTGAAACGATTGCGTGAAAGACGATGGAAAATAGTAATTAACGACGAGAGTAAATATACATACACACATGCATGTATGCTTAATATGTGTATATTACCTAGCTGTACGGGAAATCACAGTTGTGCGTAGAACAGATGTGATTTCTTTCTAATGTGTTCATTAGTTACTTTAATGACTGAAGTGAGGTTATGTCTGCCATTTTTATATCATTTGCCATTTACCTCTCTGTCCTCTTCATGCCTTTAGATACCTTTATGACATATCAACGTGCGTTTAGAAATCCTTTTGTTTTTCTCTTAACCCGTCAGTGTGTAAAGAAACTCCAACGCAGGGTTGGGTATTGTAATTGTCTTCTAATTAATGTCCCACCACCGCTATGAGCTCGTTACTGTTGACACCAGAGAAAGGAGAAAAATTAAAGACAAGAATATCTATTATACATTGTTGCAGTCCAAACGTACGCCTTTAACTAATTAATATCTTATTTCTATATACCCCCAACCCGAGCTCTCTAAGCTTGCAGTCTGGAGTTACGATTTCATCAATGACGAAGAGTTTTCTCAATGACGAAAGCTTTACACGAAAGCGTCCCCATATTCATGACAGAAACACAGACGGACTCGAAAGTCCCACGAATAGGCGGTTAAGGTCACTCGCGCTTGCGATGGTGTCACGTTCTACTACTATCGTTCTTTCAGCTCCCTCTAATGTTGTCTAAAGTGAATAAACATTTAATGTCTTGGAACGCCGCCAATATAAGACTAAATAAAGAGTTATTATTATAATTGTGGCTGCGTTGGCGAGGCATATAAAGTGAAATCGGCTGGGCACAGAGCATGCATAGAAAGAGATGACATACGCCAGAGATTCCGAGTTTCAGAAGATTAAGACGTCGTATCTCTTATGATTCTCCCAGTTCCAGCTTCAAGGAGGCGCACACGCATGGTTGGAAGAAGAAAAACTAAAACAATTAAACCTGACAATGACTTTTGTGCAGCGGCTTGTGGTCAGGCCTTCAACCAACCAAGCAACCGTAAAAATATTCCCAAAAAGTTGTTTTTGACCGATAAAAATCCGAAACGTTACGACCAACTGGTGCAGAAACTATTGGATTTTGTTCGCCTCTTGCAACAGGGATGCCATAAAACGCGAGTACATTCTGGACGTTCTGAAGTTGTTGTTGTATGTTCAATATTTACGATTGTTAGTGATGCACATTCTAAAGGACCCAAAGGACTGTCCTTTAATAATAAAGTATTTAGCTTTTTTATATTTATTAGACAGCACAAATAGTCATACGCCAATGGTTATAGCCACTTCGTTAGCTCTCTTTGTAGCCCAGAAGTGTGTAAAGCCCCGGGCGGAGTGTGCGCCTGGTTCTGAGCTCTTCATCGGTTCAGAAATTTCGCTGTTGCGAAGTTAAACTTGAAACTCAACGCCGATTCCAAGTTCTAGGAGCGCTAAAGTGGGCTCTGCGTCAAAAAAATTCTCAATTCAAAGTTTATATTGCGTTTGGCTTCGGTCGCGTACAATGAAACGAGGACGAACAGCGGCTGAGTCTTAAAATAGTGAGACATTCCCTCTTCGACTAAAAATGGACGATTTCTTTTTCTGTGCACTGACTTCAGTCGAACGGTGGCCCACATTTCCTCAGCTAATTTGTTTCCACCCTCCACCAACCATTTTCTATTTGCCACACTTTAACGCTCTTTAATAGACAAATTTTGTATTAAATGCCATTAAATTTTTTTATTTACTTCGTCTCCTTATTCAATGTTACGAAATTACCTGTCATTTATTGTTGTTGTTGTTTTTGGTATTGTTATTGTTGTCGTTTCATTTACCGTTAATGGATGCGACAAAGTTGAACTGTTTTGTACTTTCTTTTATTAATGCAATGGTTTCGAGTATATATTAAACATATATATATATATTTACTAACATATTTACATACATATATATTATATACAGATTTCCCTGTCGGTTCCCCTTGCTCCACACATCCGTTTGTTGTTTGGTTGTTATGTAATTGTTTTTCTTGTTGTCGCTTCTTGTTTTGTGTAAACAAACAAGAATGCATTTTTCGCCCAAATGCAGTGACAACAACAATAAAAAAAGAAATAACAACAACAATGAATGGGGCAACGAACGACATGCGCCATAACGCCATAACAAGCAGACAACCAAACAAACATACGAACGAACGCACCAGTCAATGTCAATTACAGACTGCATATATTTTATGAAATAAACATGAACGGACATACACACATATGTATATATGTACATACATATA